GGACCCCAGCATATGGAGAAAGACACAGCATTGTTTGCCCTGAATGCTTAGATGTCCACAGCCAAAATCCAGAAACCGTGCATCAATAAAGCCAGTTTAGCATATGTCTGCAGTACATCTGTGATTTAGCTGAAACCCCAATTCATTTGGACACAGAAGAAAAATTTAGAAGCATTTTTACATTAATTTAAGGAGTTTGGGCTGATTTTTATAGACGTTTAGTTTTGTACATGTTTCTTCTAGTTAGAAATACTTTAAGATGTGAGGTGAATGAAGCGGAAATAAATGGTAAGAGTTTCCTCTGATTAGACTGTGACAAAATTTGTTATATTTAAGATGAAGGGACTAATGCTCAGGTCCAACCACTATTTCCAATCATGGACTGTCCACTTTATCTGGATTCTGTGCTTCAGAGTTTAATTCCATGTGGAAGGGAGCAGTTTATTTAAATTATAAAGCTTGTTTAAATATAAGTTGCGTGACTGCTGTGGAATACACAGTGTAAGCCGCTGGGTACTTCAGAGCTGTCTTGTTTAGAAGAGGGCATCTCTAATGCTAGCCTTAAATATGAACAGTTGGGCTTTAACGTTGAGTAGATGTTTGGGTTGCAGGGTTAGATTAAATGGCTCTGAATGGAAAAATTAAACTGAAGTAAATGTGTGTTTGATTAAAGGAAGACTTGCCTGGCATGATGATGACTCTGCATTCATTGCAGTGTCTGTTACCTTTTCATCTATCAGAATGTCTCTGATCCTCTTTATTTACAGCAGTTGGAGCTGCATTTGGCCTCTCTGCTTTATGATGTGCCCTATCTTTTCTCCAACAATGTGGTGTACAGACTGTGATTTTGGCACTCTCTAATATCACCTTTGTTCCAATCTTTATTCCTTTATAGAATCCCCGTTTGATGTGACGTTTCTGTTTCAGCCCCAGCCACTGGATTCTCTGAAGCCATTAAATTATTGGAGATGTCTTTATCCAAGACTTAAAAGGTCTTTAAGCTGTAACAGTAAATGAGAGTAATTTGAGGCTAGTTTTCAATTTAATAATGGTGAGTGTAACAAATCACAACAGTGGGCCATTGTTTATCTAACCTGAGGAGCCAACTTAGTGCTTAAGGCCGAATTAATACCTAAGGTCACACATGTAGTTGATTCTACTTATTGATTCAATTGTTTTTAATTGCTAAGGGACTTTGAGGCCTGGACTGCCTTGTCCTCCCATTCAGATACAATCCTCAAAACACACGCTTGTAGTGCAAGGTTTAAACACAGTCGGATATTCATATTTTACTATTTAATGTGAGACTAAATTGAACAACAACTAGAGAGGAATGAAATCTTACAGGCTGCGGATAGCTCTAGGGCTATGTCCCCCAGTGAATTCATCTCTTTCTGGCCTTGTGAGAAATAACAATAGTGTTTATTTACTCCAGGTATTGTGAATGGGCCAGGGCCTTTCCTCTCTCCGCAGGCCCCATTCTGCGCATAGCCTCTGATCGGCTCCTGGCTCTGGGCCATTGTAATTAAGATTCCTCCCAGTTCTCCTGGACAGGTGGTCTCCATTATTCTTGTAGTGTTCGTGATCTTCTCTGGGCTTGTTCTGAGACTCACAGTGTGCTGTGGATACTCCACGTCTTTCAACACATATGGACACGGCATTCCATATATCAGTTGGTTAGACAGCAGGGTTGACTCTTAATTTGTCATCTGTTGTGGTGAGCTATAACATTGCACAAATAATACCTGGCAAATGCTGCGGTACGATCTGACGAGCAGCTCTGCTATTCTGTGTTCGGATAGACAAGAAAAGCGGATTATGCACACTTTGTGGCACTGGTTGATTTTCCATTAATTGTTTTTAAAGTCACTGAATGTCATTTTAACAGAAGAGCTTTGTTTTCTCACTCTGCTGATGTGAGTATGGGATGGATGTGGTTCTTGGCTACATGAGGAGAAATTCTGTTAGCAGTCTGGCGGAGGTCTGTGGCATGGGAGCGACACCAGGATGATTGATGGGTTGTGGAATTAGCTGCAATCCTTTGATTCTACATGCAAATTCACCACTGTTTTACCACTAACCTTCGTTATTATAGCTGCTTCAGCTTCTCTAGCTGCTTTCTAATCTGAACCAGATCTGCCGTTGTCCGCTACTGAGTGGTTTTAATAAGCGCATCATAGCGTAGCCAGATGCTTGGCCCATCATAGAAGTATGCTAGATGATTAAACGTGACAAAGGACAACTAGATAGGTGCATTCTTTTGGGAGAAGCCAACAGCAGTTAGAATATTGTCGGTCTGGCACACAGTGGAGAGATAAGTTAACCCCTATCAGTATGGAGATGCAGGACATCATATGGCCTGCTTAAACACTATTCTAATCCTCTCTTTAGGAAATGTGCTGTAAATGGGGCCTTTTAATTCACCTATTACTACAGGTAATCAAAGCTCTCTATCAGTTTCTCACTGTTTCTGAGGGCCAGCCAGACTGTCTAATGGCTTGGCTAGTGATTGCATCTCTTTAAAGATACAGATCAGAATCAAGAGACATAGTGAAGTTTAGTGCACGCCATCGCGTGACTGCTCAGATCACTCCTGCAGTTGATTTCAGGAAGTTCTCAGAAAGTCCTGCCCGCTGACATTTTTTTCCCTTAAAAAGTATATTTTAGAGAGGAGGACTGACAACGTAAAAGATCAACAAAGAACAAACAGAATCTCTGAAGGCTGGATGCTGAATGTTAGATGAGCTGGGTGAATACTTCCAAGATAATGTTCCACAAGGTGAACATATAAACATATTCAGATTCCTTCTTGATGAACAGATTCCATAAACTACACACAGTTGTCCTTCAACATTATTTCCATATTAGCTTCCTTTAGGACGCAGTGGAATTATGGTACTGTAATCCTTCCAAAGCCGCAGGGCAGGTCTGAATGTTCTAATAAGAGATTTGATGTTTTAAGTGCTGGTTGCAAACACAACTTCTCATGTTTTGCTTCCTTCATTCACAGCCTTTCACCTCTAATTATCACACGTTGGAGGCTCTGCTCCATCCAGAGTGCTGCGAGACCCCCACTAAGAGGAAATTGGTCAGTGGATGCTGAGCAATGTTCAGAACATGCCAAAACTGTGTCTTTTTTACCCTGGAGTTTGCTGTAGCAAGATGTACAAGGAGGGTTTTGGTGGTTGCATTTGTTGTTGCCATATTTAAAAAAAACATCCAAAATGATCCTCACCTGGGCTTTAATTATCATAAGTGTAAGTGATTAATAAATGTATCACTACAAATATAAAACAGCTTTGTTTATTAGGCTTTGGGGAAAAGATTTGACAGTCAAGTTTAAGCCTGTCCGTATACTACATCCTTCTTTGGAAAACATTTCGATCTCAAAGGTAGCAAATTGAGCCTTACCTGCTTGGGATGGCAAATGTAAATCATCTTATTTTGTTAAACTGCGGAAGATCAACATGGAAGAGATTGTGGAACAGATGTTCCAGTACATTCTTGAAATCATTGTACTGTCTTTTTACAGCTTCCATAGTTAAATTTGTATGCCAAGTCTGCTGAAAGTGTATAAAATATGACTGATTAAAATAGTTATTTGATAGATAGGTCTAATGACCACAGTTAATCATCTCTGAATATGTTCCATGTAAACTCCCGGGGTGCTCACTGATTTGGGCACGCTCACCTCTTAAAAACAGGTTAAGCAGTGCTATAACTCTCCGAACCTCTCCTGGTAGGCATGTTAACCTCTCCTGTGCAGTGCACATAACTCTCAGCCTGACACAGTTAGCCCCCAGATGGTTACTAACAGCCAAACCTGCCACTCATTCAGCGATGCTTCATCTTCTAGCTGTGTGAGACCACCAAAGCATTTTGACTCTCCCCTCTGAATGACCTCCACAGCCTCCATGTTCCTGTCACTACCTTTGTTATAGCTGTAGTAGTATCAGCAGGGGGAAAAGGATATTTATGGCAAGCACAAAGGCCATACTTTTAAGACATTGAAGCATTTTGTAGGTGATTTCCAAATGCCTGTTCTGTTACCTGGAAGCAGCGATGTTCAATCGAATTTTACTTCAGGTTACTGAAGGAGAAGGAGATATGAATTCATATTGAAAGTGAAAGTCTCTGCATTAATATGGTAGCGAAGTCTGCGCTCATCTGTCATGTTTTGCTTGGTGCCAAAATGTAATAACAGAAGAAACACTTTTTGTTCCCTAAAGAACCTTTCAGCTTAGTATCAGTTAACCTCCACAAGGAATGGTCCATTAAAAAGTTCTTCATGGAGCCAAAAGTGATACGTCTGCGGCTTCGCTCCAAAGATCCCTTTTTGGCACCTTTATTTTTACGAGTGTTTATAAATTTTAATTGTGCACTTGTGTCGAAAACATTGATCTTAGAGCTGCTAAAAGCCCTGGGCACAGAAAACACTACTCTGATGGTGGTTCTGATTGCAGGACTTGGTTTCGGCTTTTGGCCACAAGAGGAGCCAAGCCAGGCTGTAGTGGACACAACACAAAGAGAGTATTGAGAGGGAGGGAATTACAGCATGAGCTGATTTTAGACTTTCACTGTAGTGATGCTCTTCATACAGGCAGCCTCAAATATGCTGCTCGCTAAGTGTATTTTTAGTGCCTCGTCCAATAGCGCATTAAAAAATTCTCAAAGGCGGTTTGCTTTGACTTAAATATTTCAGCAGTGGCTTAGAGCAGTGTTGATTGTTGGTTTTGGAGGCCGTTAGACGACTTCAGTTACTAAGAGGCTGTTATGTGATCAAATGGCTAAATTGATGTGTCCCAGCCCTGGAAACAACTCATTAATTTGAGCCATACAAATGACTTGTCGGAGCCCAGTGATTCATTATATTGTTTTCATAGTGCTAGACACAGATGATATCCTTCACTGAAAAACAGGGTTAAGAACCTTGGAGTGAACAAACCATGAAACACATTTCGAGATGAGTGCTTTTGTGTGTCATTTCTGTTTGTCTACAGATATCGATGAGTGCCAGGTCCACAATGGAGGCTGCCAGCACAGATGTGTGAACACCAGAGGCTCCTACTACTGCGAGTGTAACCCAGGCTTTCGTCTACATACTGATGGCCGCACCTGTATAGGTGAGTCACGTTGGGGTTTCACGAAAGCTGACACACTGGCCTTGGCTCGAACTTCTGGAGGCTTCTATCAGCACAATCTAAAGGCAGCTTGCTTTTCAGCAGCTGGGAATTCCTTCAAAGCCAACAGAGGACTCTACCTTCAGCTTTGCGCATGAGAAGGAATCAAAGAAGCTTTTGTTTTCATAATAGCTGGACGTTTCCTACTGTTCTGTACTGTACAGGCCTTGTCATGGTGGGTTTGTTGTCAGATTTGAAGTAGAACAGTGCATCCCTCCAAAGATTTCCCTCGTTTCACTGCCAGGACACTGTAAAGTGTCCCAGTCATCTGTTGAGAATACTCTGGTGTGGAAGGTGTCAGACAAAAAGCAGGTTCTAATTTTCCACATTACACTGCAGTAGTGCCCTACAGGATTTCCTGAATAACAGAACCTTTGATTAACCAGACTTATGACTAAAATCCGTGACGATTTAATCTGCCACAGTTTTGGATGGATTTTGGTGTCAGTGCCACACAAAGAGTGCTAATGCTAGCTTAGAAAATCCCTCTATGTCGTTTGAAGTGCAGTCCTCTTGCTTAAGAGGAATTATCATCCAGGTGCATTTAATTATCCAGAAAAGCCTCAGCCTCTTCTGTCCTTTGACACATTTACCTCTGGAGGATTCTTTGTGACTTTCCGAGGGTCATTCTTAATGATGAGGATGTGTTTCACAGCTTTAATCAAGATATCCTGTCCCAAGTCTTGCCAGGTGTCTCTAAGAAATCCTTCTTCTTACTGGAAAGTTGTTTGTTATTACTGTACAGTAACTGTAATTTGTTTAAGTGAAATGAGAGGATATTCATTTAGGCAATATGACATCAAGAGACAGCTTTGATATATACTTTCCACTGTTTTCCATTTATAAGTCCACAGACATGCCATTTCTTTGCCATTAATGAAATCTGTGCTCTGGAAGCAGGCCTCTGTTTTAGAGCACTTTAAAATAGAAGTCATTAATCCATCTTCTGCGCTGTGGGTCTGAAGCAGTAGTTGCATTGTGCTCCTATGAGTTCCCCAGTTCTGCAGCCTTCTCTGCTGGGATGTAGTCTTCAGCTTGTCCCACCAGGCTTGGGCAGTCCAGGGCCGCAGGCCCAGATCCAATCCACAAACGCCGCTGGAGCCCAGTGAGAAGGAGAACCAACCGAGTGCAGTTAAATCAGAGACAGATTTGCTAATTAATCATAGAGTTTCATCCAGACAGAATCTTTTTTTTTCTTTGCTGAATGCTCATTCAAAAAGTTGTTAATCGTACCTCTGCCCTGTTTCAGATACCCATAAAGTGTGGTTTAAAGTCAGCAGGTATGCCCTTTTATTATTCTTAATGTAGAACAGAACTCTGCTGCAAGCCAGATATTTTCACATTACAGTACCACTCTTTTACTCTCGGAAACATGCTTTCCCCAGGCATTTGCTTCTAAACTGTACCACTTTATGGAAAACCCGCAAGCCAAAACTCAATCCATCCTTAAAACACTGCCATCATTATTTGGAAAGAGATTGAGTATTTAATGACAGATGTTTTTTCTAAAAAGTGGCATTTTAAAGTGATTTTAGATGAAGGATGTACAAAAAGCAGGGCTTTCTGAGGACAAAGCTCACAAATATTTTACATATAATCAGTGTTGGCTGACGTCTGCAATAACAACACGTGTTAGTCTGTGGTACTGCTATTAAACTTAGATTAGACTGTTCTTTGCGTCTGAGAAACATTTAGGCAGTGATCTTATACAGTAAACACTGGCACTTGTTCAAAGACACATTGAATGTGTTGTGCATTTACCTGCAGTTTGACTGTAACCTTTATTTGACCCTGTGTAATGACAGGGGTGGTCAGATGGTTCCACAGCGGCATTTGTCTGAACAGAGGAGGGAGACAGACTGGGAAGTCACCAACAGTTAGGACAGTTAACGGCTCAAAACCAACATCATCATTAGGATAGACCAATGACAGGGTGGAAAAAATTGCCTGTAATTTCCAGAGTTTTCCCAAAGCTTTTTAAAATGATTTAGTGAATAAAAATGTTTTAGGCAAAACTTAATTTATTAAAGACTAACCATGTATAATTTGAGGAAAATATCACGTGTAAATATTTGTGACAGTACTTTTTTTGAGAACAATGCCATACTCCAGACATTTTATCCCCTTTTCTGCACTCAAACCTTTAAGGTTTTTAAACCACCTTTGGGGCAAAAGATTGTCAATATTTGCTTTCAGCAATAGCTCAGAAAAGAAGACAAAGAAAAGAAAGTTTGGGTAAAACTGCTCTGCATACAAAGGAAGACACTTTAATAAAGCTAAATAGCAAAGTATACCCAAAGGATAATAAAACATTTGTATGTATGTTTCTTAATTGAAATGTAACAGTGAGAAAATATTAAATTCAGGATAACGGCAAAATTTTTATGTCACCATCTCTGTGTGGAAATCACATGGTTGAGTAACAGTGGTATGCCAGTGAGGAAGAGGCAAGCTGGCATGGTCCACTCTCTATAAACACACTGTCTGCTCTCCACCACGATCACTCCCCTTGATTCTGCCCTTATCGACTTCTGTTTGTTGGCTTTTTAAATGGTGTAGAACCAATTTGCTGGGGCTGTTTTGCTCAGTGTTATTATTGGTGTCTGTTCTGAGATGGCGATCACTGTGAAAACAGTTGAATGGCAGGACCATTGAATATCACATTCCTAGAGCTCAGTGGCGATGAGAAGCATGTTTGGCTTTCCAGTGTTCTCCTGAGGAAGAGATGGCGAAACCTGAGTGTTTTTACTAGGCTTTAAATAACTGAAGATACTGAAAGCTATCTCCTGAAATTACCCAAGAATGGCATGTGGATAGTCCCACAGAGAACCATACAGAGATAGTTCTGGCTTCAGTCAGCTGGCAAAGTGAAATTCTGAAGAGCACAGTATACATGTGAAATAACTCTTGTGCAGTTTAACAGTTTGGGACTTTTATTCTAGTTTAGCACTTTTTATTTATATATGAAAAACTAATATGTAAGGGGATATGTACAAGTTAAAAGGAGGATAGCACACAGACACAATTAATAAAGGACATAATTAACATAATTAACGTGTTGAAAAAGCAAATGTCTTTCAAATGTATAATTTTACTCAAATAAAGAGATGTTTTCATAACTGTTTTATTATTAGCTAAAGGCTGTTACACATTTCTTGTGTGATTTATTCTGATTTCAATAAATTAATTTAAACACATATATAACTTATGATATCTTCCACCATAAATGTGATTTTTCAATTGGCAAAAACTGCTACGTTACTTTATTTGTCCTCTGTTCAATGTTCAAACTTTTCCAGGTGTCATGAACTCAGTCCCTGTTGTCTTTGGTGACAATTTGACGGATCAGTTGGTTGTGTCCTTGCAGCCTACTACTTGTGTGGTGCTAGCACCTCCATAAGCAACTCAGAGACCCCTGCTCTACAGATTTGAGTGTTTTCTCTGCTCTAACACCCCATAACATGGTGTCATAATAATGTGCAGTGTGCAGTACCTGCTGTGTTAATTCCTGCCACTGTTATCTGAACTTTGCACATTTCTGCAGTATCTCTGACTGTGTGACCCATCTTGCTAACTTTAATCTCTGTGCTCTTCAGCTGTTCTCTCCTGTGCCATCAGTAATGGAGGCTGTGAACAGGAGTGTGTGCAGCTCTCTCCTGCCCGCTTCCAGTGCCGCTGCAGACACAACTACCAGCTCGCTGCTGACGGCAAACACTGCAAATGTAAGTACTTCAGCACTCTTTCATGCAACTTATTTTTAGGAGTCGCTTAATTGCCATGGTGTTCAACTGATGACTGAAAACTGTTGGAATGTTCTTTCTTTGCAGCTTTAGACCAGATGATCTGATAGTCTAATGAAAAGGGCAATTTTATTACCCTAAAATTACCCTATAAAGATGTTGATTTAGTCAAGTTTTTTGCTCCCTAGTGTGGGAATGGTGAAGAGTAACAGCTATAGGATTGAAGCAGATCTGACTATAAAGGTACAATGTGTTGTTTTTCTTTGCCCAATAAGGATAGTAATAGTTATGTCATTGTCTGTCTTAGTTGACTTAGGGAACTACATCAAAAATCCAGAAGTTAATTTTTACATTTTTTATTTGAACCACATTTAACTGTCCAAACTATTTCTACTGTTGAATATGCTCTATTCCTTTAATAATATGATTTTTCACCCCATTTTGACATGTAAGAAGCATACTCTAATAAAGTAAAAAAAAATCTGTCACTTTCATTTTGTTTGTGTTACAAACTACCTTTGTAAGCATACAAACATACGAATAGGAATACAAAACAACCAGCCACTGAATTAAGTACACCTCCTTGTATCTACACTCAGTGTCCATTTAATCAGGTCCACTTACCATATAGGTGCACTTTGTAGTTACAGTAGTACAGTTACAGACTGTAATCCATCTGTTTCTCTGCATAATTTGTTAGCCCTCAATTACTGTTAGACACAGTTTTTAAACACTGTGTCCACTCACTGTCCACTCTCTTAAACACTCCCACCTTGTTGGCCAACCTTGTAGATCTAAAGTCAGAGAGAGAATCTGTTGCTGCACACTTAATGTTAGCCATCATTTAGTCCTTCATCAGTTGTCACAGTACGCTTCCCACAAGACACTGTTAGCTGTATAATTTCGGTTCTCAGTCCAGCACCCAAATAATACCTGCTCTGTGGTGGTCCTGTCTTGATCATTGATTAATGGAGTAAAAGGAGGCTAACAAAGTATGCAGAGAAACAGATGGACTACAGTCTGTAATTGTAGAACTACAAAGTGCACCTGTATGGTAAGAGGAGCTGGTGTGACCTGTCATTGTATTTTACACATCAGTCATTTTTTTTTGTTGTTACTGTGATCAAACAAATCAGTAAGCCAGTAGTGATCTTGAAGTTTCCTCTGAATGTTCATTTTATTCTGAATGTCAATTTTGTTCAAAGTTCTGTTTGAGATCAGTGCCAAATCGACATGCTAACTTGATTTTTTTATGTCAAAGGAATCATATTTTTCTTGTCCTCCATAGTTTCAATTACATGTTGCTCTTACCGAAAACAGGTTTTTCCCACCTCATTCATTTTTTTTCTTGTGGTAAAAAGTCCTACCTAGTTGTACTTAAGTTGTGATGGAGGGAATGTGACGGACTGGCTACCACGTTCCCTGTCCTCAAGGTTAGAACTGTTAATGTTGAGTTTTCAAATTTATATTACGTGACATTTTGCATTACATAGCTGCAGCGCGGCCTGTGCTACCCCATTTACATTTACATTTTTACATTTACATCATTTAGCAGACGCTCTTATCCAGAGCGACTTACAAAAAGTGCTTTGTCTATCCAGAGAAAGAATCTTCGCTAGCTACCGATAGGTTAGAGAGAAAGTCAGTCCTAAGCTCAGATACTGGTAGAATCAGAAGGTCATTGACACCTAGTGAAAAAGGGACAGAGTTAAACACAGAACAGTGCAATACGATAAAATACATAAGTGCTGTACAATACATTACAATCAATACTTAATTTACTTAAATACTTAACCCCAGGCTCAGGAAGGACGCTGGAGGCAGGGTTCACAGTCGCAGCAGCAATTGCAGTTATTTTCTCTCCAAACAAACACAAAACAAACCAAACCAAACCTATTCTGGCCACTTTTTTTAGGGGCTTCAGACGAGACAGTCCTTTTCTCCAAACTAAGCTTCTCAGCTCTTCAGTCTCTCACTGCTGCTCGTCACTCTTTCTCTGTTCCCTCTGCTCTTTTAACAAGGCGCTCACCTGAGCCGAGATTGGAATGAGAGCTTGTGTTTCAATTCCCTGTCACCGCCCCCTCTCTGCATCTTGGCTGCCTGGATCGAACGTGAGATGTAGTGAAGCAGCCTCGCTGCACAACAGGGGCGGGGCCCGGGCAGCGGACGTTGGGACTGGCATCCCGCCTTCATGCCCCTTGTGGCAGTCAATGTCGTCTTCCCCTCTCTGGTGGCTGACGTCCTCCTCCTGCCGTCACTCAAATTCAGTCTTCTGTTTATAGTGTGATGGGGTGGGCATGTCATGCTTGATGCATCTTTTTAAAGATACAGAAAACAACACATTAACAATGCTGAATAAACGCAAAACATCACGCTTTTGAATCTAGCTGCCCTAAAAGTTTGAATAATATAACTTTCTCATTATCAGGTCACTTAATGTGACTAAACAGTATTTTTATGGTTAAAAAAGTTGGTGTAATGAAGTGAAAAGCAAAACTCAAGGACACACATTTTGTGTTGATGTGGAAACAGTTGTACATCTTAGCAAGCATTCTTTTTATGGAATAGTTCGCATAAGCTCTCTCAGAAACTTGTGGTGCATTGAGCAATAAAAACAGCATGGTGTTTTTATGAATTTCATAGAAAACACAGTAGCACACAAAAAGCACCAATTCCACATGCTGATATGTACATGCAGTGTGGACATGCATGTATCCCAACTACAGTGGTAGTCAATATCTCTGAATGTTTTACCAATGACACATTAGTTGTGAGAGGGTTATATAGGGTGGAGGGAAAGGGTTAGACAATGCCTTTTATAAGAAGGTGAATGTTATAGGATGGTTCTAAAATCTGGACTGGGTTATTTAGAGGTGGCACCAGGGATGAGCATTTAACGGACATAGCTAGGTGCAGACCTCTGCATTACATGGTCATTGGACCTCAGTTAGCATTGTAGCACGTGGCCACTGATTTCTTTGTTTATCTGTAATTTATAGTGTGGTCTATAAACAGGCCCAATTTACATACCCTAAGTCACTGTGCGTGAAAAACAAGAGGAGGACGAGGATTAAAAAAAGCTTCATGCCAAAACCACAGTCATAAATCCTGAATCATTAATGGATATGTGGTTCTTGGATGTACAGTATGGATGGAAGAGTTTATGGCTTGGAGTGGGAAGGCGAGTATCTGCTAAAGTCCCCAGATGTGAAACTGTCTCTTCACTCCTGGCAGCCTATAGGCTTCTACCACACAGGAGTCCAATAGCGCTGATGCTGTGTCTTTGAGGTTTAAAATAGATTCGCACTCCTTCCTGAACAAGTGCCAGACTGGTGTGTATTACAGTACAATGCTTTAAATCTTCCAAGCCGTCAGAGACTGATAAAATGTCTTAATGAAGGGTGTGTGGAGTTTAATACTTTGTTCTTAATGGTTAGTGGCATCACATTTAGTGCTGACAATTATACAGTGTTAAAAAAACACAGACTCCAATTGAAGCCTTGCATTGAGATGGAAGACCGGTGGAGTGTGAAGTGCACGAACGCTTATATGTTAAATTGCAGTACGTTTTGGCCTGCTTTGAAATTGCCTGAATGCAATTTCCACCAAGGAGCTCTTACATTACTCAGACTGGAGAGTCATCTTCTTGGCAAACCCAGTGTCAACCTTTGAATTGCTTGCCAAAGCGCACTTTCACTTTGGCCTATTGAGTATCTTGAGACTCAGCAAAACCCATTGTTCTCTAGTGAAACTGCTATTCAAAATTAGGTGAAGACAGACAAGTGAGAGTGGAGAGTATCCACCAGAGGGGCAACAGTCTTTATGGATCTACAATAAAAAACGTGAAAGCGTCAATAAATAATGATGAAGAGCTGCAGAAATTAAATGTACTGTATTTTATTGATATGGGACAAATGCAGCAGCAGGGTATTAATGAAAAATTAGTCATTGGTATTGTGTTTGTCTTCTAAAAGAGATTTACAGTGCCAGGTTCAGAGTGGAAACTCGTTATGGCTTTACCAGGCATTCTTTCATCTTACACTTTATTACAGCTTTAAATGGGCCTGAAATTTTGAACCAGAATACAGCCTGAAACTTTCGTGTTCAGCTTAACCCAAACCACATCTTGAAGCTTTGAGTCTGAACTCAACCCATGACCGACAAAATTTTATTCTGTATTATGTGGTCAGGGGCCTTTCTCTTCACTTTTAAAGAATTTTGATGCCAAATATCCTTGATCATCTGCAGTTTCTCAACAATGCATAAGTTGTACCAAACAGTGAAAGAGTCTTCTGTTAGGCCTCAAATTTCAGGATGTCTCTGCATGTGTCATGTCTTTAATAACAGACCCTAATAAGGCCTCTTCCTAAGTAACATGGTTTCACTTCCAGGCAACAATAATCTGTAAAGCCCTGGAGTGCAGCAGACTCAGCCTTGTCTCAGTCCACCTCTCAGGGGTGAAGTACTGGAAGTGATTATGTTATTTATGCCCCGAGAAACACAACCACTCTCTCATTTAGCCCCAATTATCGTCTTACTCACTAAGCCACCAGGAGCGGGTTGGCACGGGTGTTGGGAGTGAGTGAGGAGCGTGTGTAATTGAGATACAGAGAGAAAGTTTCCTTGCATAAATACAATACTTTATAAAGCAAGCTCTAACCATGCAGAGACTTTTTTAATGGGGCCTTTTAGTGGGGCCTCCAGTGGATTTACGTACGTCTGATTGAGGGTGAAGACGTGAGTTGTTAGCTCTAACTGTGACCTGTTTCTTTTGCAGTGAGAAACCCCTGTGCGGATAGGAATGGAGGGTGTATGCACACATGCCGTAGTGTGGGCGGCCATGCCCTGTGTGACTGCCACAGAGGCTACAGACTGGCTCGGGATCAGAGGAGCTGTGAAGGTAAATGCCTCTGACAGAACAAACTGGAGGCTCTTTCCACCCTGTAGCTCATTTCAGTTGCAGTGCTGTGGAAAGCCTTTTCATATGGCACATCCTCTCAGTAATGGACTTTTTTGGGAAGATTTCTTTCCCACGGCTTTGGAACTTGGGAAAGGATGGAAATACTGCTTTTCATTTAGAGTGGGAGGAGAAGACTCCATGCTGTGGAATTGGGTTCATCTTCTTAACACTGGCCAGGCTTGCAAAGATAGCCAGCCAGTAGGGCCTTCCCTCATGGCGTCAGTGTCATAATCACTTCTGGCCTGAGTGTGTGATGAGCCCACCAATCTGGTGTTCAAGGGCTGCACTCTGAGACCCATGCTAATGATATGGAATAGAAAGGAAAAGACTTTATTATCTAGAATGAGCATTAAAGACTCACACAGGAATAGCTGAGATTTTGTGATCATCGCCTTTAAATTCCACTGACTCTTGAGAAAGTTGACCTAGGTTCTCTGTGCATTTCAGATGTGGACGAATGCGAGACTGGACAGGCTGGTTGTGCTCATGATTGCCGAAACAGTCCCGGTTCCTTCTCCTGCATCTGCAACCCTGGATATGAGCTGGGTTCTGAGGGCAGGAAGTGCTACCGTAAGTCACCTTTCACCTAGTAAACTCTTGTCTGCCATATCTGCTAATTGGGGCCTGTATGCTGTCATGACGTGATTGTGCGGATGCTGTACTGTTTAACAGGCATTGAAATGGAGATAGTGAACAGTTGTGAGTCTGGAAATGGAGGCTGCTCACACCACTGTCAGCATGGCACACTGGGGCCTGTCTGTAGCTGTAACCAAGGTTACCAACTTGATGAGGACCTCAAGACATGTTTGGGTGAGCTGATGTTTTGATCGAGAACATTTTGCATATAGTCATATACAAAAGGTCGAACACCCCCGGTCAAAGGTTTTGTTGATTTTCTAAGTGAAAACAAGTTAACAAGCTCCTCGACAAACATAAATAAAGTTTTCTCTGATCAAACATGCCACTTTGGCTATAAGGGGCCTGTTATTTGAACTGGATTTTGATTGGATTAGGTGTGCCAGAACAGTAAAATATGCAGGACAGGGCTACTACAGGGTCAGGATTGGGAACCGTGTGTTAAACCCAGGTCAGATGCAACAGTAATACTTAAAGCCGAAACTTTGTTGCCCATTGTTTGAACTCAGTGTGTATTTATTTAGGTCTGTTAAAACATTCAAATTCTTTAAAAGTCTTAAAAATAACATCTTTTCAGAAGAGTTTTCACAAGAGGTGAAAGAACTCTTAGTTTTGCTCTTTTTTCCAAAGTTATAACTTTCACAACTTTCAGATGCCAAGTGGACATAAAGGGGAGTGAAAGCTTTCAGTTCAAAACAACAATTAATAACGGTCAAATACACAGTCATAAGGTTGAGTTGTGAGAGCAGCAATATATTCACATATTTAATTCTAAAAAAAACAAGCTCATGTTTTATGTGATGTACTCCGCCAGCTGGAGTGTGGCACTCCATGGGGATTAGTGGTTTTCTCTGCTGGTGACCAGTGGGATTTTCTTTGAGTAATGGCTCCCTTCTCCCTCACTGGAAATGTGCTTAGTAAACGTACCCAGACTGTAGGGCTTTAACATACAATGGTGGCTCGTGGGCTTGCTTCCTGTGTTGTGTTTGAGGAGATTCACCAGTGCTGCTTGTGTGTTCCAGACTTGGATGAATGTGTGGAGGGGAGCTCATGCTGTGAACAGGACTGCACCAACTACCCTGGAGGTTATGAATGCTACTGCAGGGCAGGATACAGGCTCAACTCAGACGGCTGTGGCTGTGATGGTAATACTGCTTTATTCGCTCGTTCGCTTCATATTTTTCAGTAGGGAGAATGTAAATCTTACTTTTTTTAGTTGTTGTTTTGCTGTACTATTTAAATTAAATTATATATTAACATAGTTAATTATGTAGTTACTTACATAATGAATTACATTTCCCTTCTCTATCAACAGGTTCAAGTGTGTCTTTTTTCTGTTTCAGTTTCAACAAATGACAACAGATGGCAAAAACTTTTTTCCATCAAATTCAAATTATATTAAATGTTCTCTTTTTCTGTTTATGAACACAAATATAATTGGGCAGAAAATACTTAATTGCACTTAGTTACTGTGCTTAAGTGTAATTTTAGAAGATTTATATTTTACTCAGGTATTGAATGAAATATAAATCCAATACTTATACTTTTACACATTTACATTTCCTAGAATTATTAATTCATTCATTCTTAATCTGGTAAAAAAAAGTTTACTTTTATAAGTAAAAACTAAATATAAACTAAGTATGTTTAAATTATATATTTGAGTATGTTTAAATATGATAAATATATGAACTGGAAGTTTTAAATCCACACCTCCGACAGTGAGAAGAAGAAATAATTCATGTTAAATTAAATAATGTGTTTCTGTTGATAACTGCAACTTCTAAGGGTTAACAGATTCTTAAAGCACTTTGTGATTTGTTCTATTTTGACAGATGTAGATGAGTGTCTGTCTGACAATGGAGGCTGTGAACATACATGCCAGAACACAGCTGGGTCCTACCAGTGTTTCTGCCGCCTCGGACACCGCCTGGCTGAGGACAGGCACTCCTGTATTCGTGAGTTCAGTTCCTTAAACACGCTCTGATTAATGAAGCTCTGCTGTCATTTACATATCAGAAGGTAAAAAAAACATATTCCAAATATAATATGACTTTGTCCCTTTCTCCAGCTCTGGAGAGAGCGGTTGAAACACTGTCCAGTCGATTGGTGGTGGAAAGACCATTTCCACAGGTGACTCTGCTGCAGGACTACCCTCAGCCTCTGGAACGATATGACGATTATGAAGAGGAAACCTTTGGAGAGCTACGAGCAGAGAGCACCATCACACAGAAGTTCGGTCAGTATAGCCAAAGTAGTTTTGAATCAAGTCATGGTGTAATTTGAGATTTAATAATGCACTGAATCATTTCCTAAAGAATGTCAAATGAATCAAATCATTGTAAAAAAGATTTACCCCCAATAAAAGGTAATCAGTGTCCACTCACTGCTTATCTCACTCTGAAACTACACAGTATGTCTGAATGAGACGTTCGGCCACGACTGCAGTCTGTCATGTGATGACTGCTCTAACAGCGGAGTGTGTAACATGGAGAGGAATGGATGCGACTGTCCTGATGGCTGGACAGGCATCATCTGCAACCAGAGTGAGTCCAGAAAGTAGTGATTTACAGCCCACAAATATAAAGTATGGCCATAACCGCAATCTATCAGTACATGACTTGTCTGTGTTTTTGACCACCAGCCTGTCCTGAGGGCACATTCGGCAGGAACTGCTCCTTCACCTGTAAGTGTAGGAATGGGGCCACCTGTGATCCAGTGAGTGGAATCTGCCGCTGCCCACCAGGGGTCAGCGGAGACATGTGCCAAGACGGTGAGTGAGCAGTGGTCTGGGGCGTGGCATCTGACTGTGATATCAGACAGAAAGTGACTGCTTAATGCAACTCATACTCTTTTATGTAATATAGTTTGGGAGTTCAGTAACCTAAATATGTAAACTAACATATAAAACTTAGGCAAAACCTGCTCTTCTTACCAAGAAAGACACTTTGATGAACACGAAGCTAAATGTTGCAAAGTATCCCCAAAGAATTAGTAAATGGCAGTTTTGTATTAACACACCTTCTGAGGTATTTTGCCTTATTTAATTAAAATATATATAAAATATCCTTAATGTGAAGGTGGTGTAACGTGTTCTGTGCTTGCAGGCTGTCCTAAGGGTTTTTATGGCAAGCACTGCAATAAGAAGTGTAACTGTGCCAATAATGGACGCTGCCATCGCACATATGGAGCCTGTCTCTGTGATCCTGGCCTCTATGGGAAATTCTGCCATCTACGTGAGAAACAATTGACAGACTAAGCTCACTTAGTCTCTACACAATTTCCTAAAAGTTTCAATTTAAGATATCCTCATCCAAGTTTCATACATCTTTTTATATGTCTCCCTGTTCAGCATGTCCTAGATGGTCGTATGGACCTGGCTGTTCTTCTGAGTGTCATTGTGTACAGCAGAACACCCTGGAGTGCAACCGACGTTATGGAATATGTGTGTGTAAACCCGGCTATCAGGGCAGAACATGCAGTGAGGGTTAGTGAACTTTCTCCTGCTGCCCTTTGTCCTTCATCTCACAGACAAAAAATCGAATCAAAGTACAGGTAAAGCTATTGTGAATGACTGTCTTCTCTTCTTGGCTCTTCAGAGTGTGACAGTGGTTACTATGGCCTGGGTTGCAAGACAAAATGCCGGTGTCCATCAGGAGTGCCCTGCCATCATGCGACTGGAGAGTGCCAGTGCCCAGCTGGAAAGCATGGCGAGAACTGTGACCAAGGTTTATCTTCAGTTCATACTTTACTGATACCTTTATCTCCCTGCATGACACTGGAGTGATATTGGCACTGGTGTGCTGCTTTTGTAAGGCCAAAGCACAATAGTACCAATATCACAGTATAGTATGACCACGATACTTGCAATTACACAGCACAGTTTCATTTTTGATTTTTATAGTTAGATTTTAAGACAATGATGGCAGAAAAACTGATTAACAAAAAGGTTTATTTACACTCTGCAAAGAAAAGTAGCTCTGATCCAGCACTGCTGCATGTAAATGTATATTTATATATACAGTATCGTGGTTTTCGGGTGGGCTTTTTGCTTATAATAAAATTTGCTGTGGCTGTTCAATGGCTGGTTGTTGTTGCAATATTAAAGGTAAACAAGTCATACTTGAAGAACATGGAATGCCTCTCAGCCAATCACACTGGGGGGCTGGAACTAACTATTATAATTTTTAGTACATCATTATATTTCTCACATTACTTTCATATGGTCTGATTTACACATTCATATTCCCTTTATTTTGGCTAATCCCCAGTCCGGATGTGTTGCTAAACTTAAAATTTATTGCCCTCCTTGCTCTCTTGTGCTGTCATGGGAACTGAGCCTTAGCACACACTGAGCCACATTAGAGGCATGAGGTTCATATTGTGCTTACATCCATGTACAAACTTCAAAAAGCCATATGGGAAAATAAACCTAGCAGCTGACAATACAAGCGGCACAAGAGGCTGAGCCAAACATGGATACCGGACCCAAAAACACACGACAGAGTTGCTTTCATCTGTACACTTGCCGTGCTTCTGTAGCAGCGAGTTTCCTTTACATAGATGTCGTGCAACACTGTACTTCACTTGCAGGGAAAACCAGGAGAAATAAATGTGTCATTGCGCAGCATGTTGCTGTAAAAGATTTAAGGGCATGAAAGAATATAAAGCTAGACCGTTCTGCTCTGTGATTCAAAAGCTTTTGGGCCAGTTGACTTGCAACTGGTCGTAGTGATATGTGCAGGGGTTATTTATCTTCGCTGGAGTGACTCTCTGGAAGCGTGGAGAGTGGAAACTTCTTATACTGTGGTGTGTCAGTGGATGGAGACAACCCTGATTCCCCACAGCCTCGTCCACTGTGCTTCAGTCCATCCCTCGCTGCGGGAGTCAAGGGGGGTATGGAAATATCCGGAATATTTCTACAGAAAGCCTGAGCTGGCAGGGAGGACACTGGGTCTGGAAGTCGTTAAATGATCGTGTGCTCCATCTGCCATTGATTAGGAAGAACAGGCAGTGAGGGGAGTCGTACCGGGCCACCTCTACAGTTCACCTGCAGCCTCTGCAGTGGTCTTTTGTTTTCTGACCACCATTTTGATTTTCAGAATATTGATTTGCTTTGGATATGGATTTGCAGGGGCTGCCTACAGCCAAGATTAGCAACTGATGAATGAAATTCTCACCTATTTGATAAGGCTGTGTGACTTCTGCTTACTGTTTTTCTTCTTGCTACTTGAGTTGTGCTGTTGGCCAACAGGCCTGTACCACATACATTAAAGCAGAGCTGACTAATCAACATCTTCCGGATCTCCAATCTTACTGCAGTCAACTCATACCCTCAGTCCTACTGTAGTTAACCTACAAGCCCAGTCCTACAGCACTTAACCCAGACCTATAGTCTTACTGCATTCAGCTCATACCTACAATAATACTGTAGTTAACCTAGAACCCCAGTCTTACTGCACTTAACCCAGACCTACAGTTTTACTGCATTCAGCTTATACCCACGATACTACTGTAGTTAACCTAGAACCCCAGTCTTACTGCACTTAACTCAGACCTACAGTCTTACTGCATTCAGCTTATACCCACAATACTACTGTAGTTAACCTAGAACCCCAGTCTTACTGCACTTAACTCAGACCTACAGTCTTACTGCATTCAGCTCATACCCACAATACTACTGTAGTTAACCTAGAACCCCAGTCTTGCTGCACTTAACTCAGACCTACAGTCCTACTGCATTGAGCTCATACCCACAATACTACTGTAGTTAACCTAGAACCCCAGTCTTACTGCACTTAACTCAGACCTACAGTCTTACTGCATTCAGCTCATACCCACAATACTACTGTAGTTAACCTAGAACCCCAGTCTTACTGCACTTAACTCAGACCTACAGTCTTACTGCATTCAGCTCATACCCACAATACTACTGTAGTTAACCTAGAACCCCAGTCTTACTGCACTTAACTCAGACCTACAGTCTTACTGCATTCAGCTTATACCCACAATAATACTGTAGTTAACCTAGAACCCCAGTCTTACTGCACTTAACTCAGACCTACAGTCTTACTGCATTCAGCTCATACCCACAATACTACTGTAGTTAACCTAGAACCCCAGTCTTGCTGCACTTAACTCAGACCTACAGTCCTACTGCATTGAGCTCATACCCACAATACTACTGTAGTTAACCTAGAACCCCAGTCTTACTGCACTCAACTCAGACCTACAGTCCTACTGCATTGAACTCATGCCCTTAGTATTACTGTAGTTAACCTAGAACCCCAGTCTACCAGACCCCTGAGATGCACTGCTATTCTATTCTAATTCTTTTTTTCAGCCTTTAGAGAAACAAAGGGTTCTTGTTTAGCACTTCAAGGCAGATGCAAAAAAGTGGCTATTTCAATCATTTTATTTACTCTTTCTTATTAATAATGGTATTTCTGAATGCTGCCATTGAATTTATTTGATATGTAAAGAAAGTGATCACACAGAGCTGAAAATCCTAGATTTTTTTTAAAACATTTCCTACCATTTTGAAAAGGAAAACACATGAATAGTCACACATCAGACACGCTTTGTCATTACTCTTACAAACAAATGAATAACAACCTTGTACTCATATGAATTCTGTTTTGAATGAGCTCACATGCTCATTTAAGAAAAAAAAAACTCAGTGCCTCCAACAAGAAACAAAGCCTCTTGTATATTTTATATCATGAAAACACTCTGGCACACAGAAAGCTCCAGTTCTACATGTTGCAGTCAAATAAAATGATGTTACTGTCGTCAATAGGGACATGCGGGCATCTCTTAAAATGTAAGTTAGGAGAATAAGAATGTTATAATATGATCCCTTAAGGTTTAATGGGTTAAAAAAATTCAAGAATAGAGACTAAAGACAGAGACAGAGTAGTCATTGAGTTTACTTTAAAGCATAACCAAGTTTGGTTTTGTCAGTGCTTCATGTGTTTCTCTTCTAAAAATGGTGAGTTATATAAAAGGTGTGTGTTTGTCTCTTTACTAGAATGTCCAGAAGGGAAGTTTGGGGCTGGCTGTTCTGTGTCCTGTGACTGTAATGGGGCAGCGTGTGATTCAGTGACTGGACTCTGCCACTGTCCTGCTGGAACAACAGGAGAGCACTGTGGTAAAGGTGAGCTGCAGAGAGCCGCATTCTGCTGAAGAGAGTGGAAAAGCACTCTACGTCACTGGTGGAACACTTTATAGGAAACCAGTCAAATTCATTTATACTAAATGGATCTATTCTGCATTTTTACAGCGCAGACAATCATATACAGTATTGTATTTGACAATTTGACCTCAGTTTGTTCTCTAAGCTCTAACCATGTTAGAAAGAAAAGATTCTACCTTTAATGACTTTCCATTCTGGTGCTGGTGGGATCTGGCCCACAGTGCTGACTTTGAGGTGAGGGGTGTAAGCAGAGAGAGAATCTGTTTGGATCTGCGTCTCTATTCTTAGCCTCTGTCAAGCTCTTTTAGCCCATCTCCAGCCAAAGACCACAGAGATATGATAACGTATGTCCCCTAAAGGCCTCTTCATTACAGCAGCTCTCTGTCAGATGCACCGAGATTCATAACGAGAGGTAGCAGAGTGTGGAAAGATGGAAGCACACTGCCAGCCAAACACTCAGCTTGTCTTTCCCAGGGAGTCAGAAAGTGTTAATAGGTGTTAATAAGGAGTAAGCAGCTCCCAGCTGGAGTGTCAAAACAGGAGCCTCAAACGCAAGGTTGACATTGCGATGATGGTCTTTAGATGACTGGTAAATATGGTCCAGTTCTCTGGCAGACTGACAACTCTGTGGTCATATAACAGCGTGCCAAGTCAAGTTGCTGTCAGATAAGTTGATAAAGGTTTACCACAGGTCGTGAACTGCCTAGACCAGTGATTCTTAAAATCTAAAAAAACAATGGTGCCAAAAAGAGTGCTTTGTAGTGACGCAACAGGCACCAGATCAGTTTTGCTTCCCCAAAGAACTTTTCAGAAAAAACACTTGTGACAGTTGTTTTCTTTAAAAACATGTAATGAGTTTGAAGAAATCTGTGTTGAAGTTTAAAGAACCTCTGCATTGTCCTCTTAACTGTACATTCAAGCCAAGAATCATTTAGGAACCTTTTTTAAGAATACAGTCCTGGATCACCCCTGTCCTGCCCCTGACATTTTCATGTCTTTATGGGGAAACATCAAAATATGCATGACTGGGCTGCTCCAGAACCACGTTTAGGAGCCATTGGTGGAGACGTATGAATTTTGCAGACATGGCAAGATCAACTAACAAAAAACAAAGGTTGCAGTGTTAATGTAGTAAAATGGAAGGTTCTTTGTTGTGTTACAGAGTGTGAAGAGGGGCGCTGGGGCCTGGCCTGCGCAGAACCATGTCCTGCCTGTGAGAATGGAGGAATGTGTGACAAGCAGAATGGAACCTGTGTGTGTGAGCCAGGATACACGGGAGAGCTCTGTCAGACTGGTGAGATTGGCCACTGCTTTTAATCAAGGCTATTTTTATAGCTTTGCTGGCCAGCTCTTCCAGGAAGTATATACTTCAGCCTTCTCAGGCCTTAGCTCCATATTGTTTTAGCTATCTCTACTAATCAATAAACAGAGGTGTGGACTCGAGTCAGACTCAAGAATTGATGAATTGAGGTTTGAGTTGACAAAATCAAAAAAGATTTGTGACTTGACTTAGACTTGAGCAGCACTGACTCAGACTTTAACTTGGACTTAAGTCTTATGACTCTGAAAGACTCGAGACTCAATTTCATAGAAACATGGAGAGCATCTGTCTGTAGACGAGTCTGTATACAACCAGTTACTTTTCATGTGAATTGGTTTGTTTCTTGGTGTAGGCATGCCAGAACTGCATCAAGTGTAAATTTGATATACAGCAACGTCATCAAATGTCTGTTACTGTGCTTATGCTGGGCTTATTTTATTTTGGAAGACGAGTGAAGTGTGAGGGATTCAAACTTGCTTTGCTAGTAACAAGTGAAGCACTTTAATTCCAGTTTTACTGGAGAAACTTAACAGGCTAATTTACCATTTTCCTCATGGTAGTTAAAGGAAAGAAACAGAGCTCCCTCTATTCAGAAAAGCACAATATTCACAAAAAAGCTGAAGTTGACTTTTTATTCACTGGCTTCATGTTCACATTTTCTGTTCCACCTACTGTTACAACTCCTGCGCCATTTAAAGTTGAACAGAAAAATTGTATAAGAATCCAACTTCAGCTTTGTACATTCACCATCATTTTGCTGTCTTTTCTGTAAGCATGGTTGTACCATCATTTTTTGTGTTCAGTGTTGAAATGGCAATAAATTTGCTGAAGAATGCATGCTGACTCAGAGTTTAGGACTCTGGTTTGTATTGACTTGAGACTCCTGTCTGTACTGACTCAGGACCTGAATTGAGACTTGACTGTCTTGACTTGGGACTTGACTTGGGACAAGGCCTGAGACTTTAGATTTATTTGTTACCTGCAACTTAGTGACGTGTTCCCACATCTGTCAATAAGGAGCTTTAAAAGTGCCTGTTTTTTGCTTCTTTTCTTGCAGTCTGTCCAGCTGGCTGGTTTGGTTTGGGCTGCCAGCTTCGGTGCTCTTGTGAGAACGATGGCCGCTGCCATCCTGTCTCAGGCCTGTGTGCGTGTAAGCCCGGCTGGACTGGATTCAGCTGTGAGAAGGGTAAAGACCTTTGTACAAATATTGCTTAATGCCTTTTTCACTTTGGAGATGTGTTCCATGCTGGGCGGAGCTCTGATTCAAGATTGATTTTATACTCTGTAAGATTCTGCAAAATTTTTGCCAGACAATTTAGGTGGTATTTGTATTTGGGGTTGCTGTTAATTCTGCAATTAACAGTATGGTTATTGTTAGTAACCCTAACCCTAACATCCGAAACATTACTTAAGGTGTAAATTCAAGTATCAGGACACAAGAGCAAGTGTTATTGCGAATAATAACAAAGATTATTACAGCTGTGATGTTATTTACAAAAAGACACACCACAGGTGCTTTATTGCTTAATTTTACAACAGTTCTGCAAAATAAAGACAAAATAAAAAAACCCAAATATTGCATTAAATATGCTTTAATATGGGCAATTCCTTTTGCCAAAAAAGTAGTAACGTTAGCCATTAGCTGTACAGATCAATAAAACTGTTGTAATATCAGGTTCAGCTCAACTTTTTCAATACTTGCCAGATTAACCTTAATTCCATTTTTGTTCCAGCCAATTTTTATAACATTTCACAGCTCATCTTGTTTGCCAGTTTGTATTTAGTTTGTTTCTGCCTTAGTCCAGTTTATTTATTCCGCCATCACAGCTGCTGACCAAAAAAAGCTTGCTTAAGAGCAATAGGTTCGGAATTTGATGTAGTCCTATTGTCACACTCTTCTTCAGAGTTTTACCAAATGGGCTGTAGGTTTAATTTTATCCTTAACAAATTTCTCCAATGTAATTTACTGTTTACTTTCAAAGTAGAAAATTAGTAATAGTTAGCTACAGAGTAAAGTGACCCGTTGCTTAGCAGATAACATCATGAGTCGAACACTTCTCAACCAGTCAGATAGTGCTGTTGGAACTAACTGACATAAGAGATAAAGAAGTATAAAATAATGAATGTAAACTGCTACTGGACGAGTTGAGAATTAGAGACTCGGTAGAGTGATGATATGGTCAGAGTTATGGTGTTAAATGGTGATGAGTGGTCAGAGTAATAATGTATATATGTGCATGTTGTGTGGCAGTGTGTGAGCCGGGGCGCTGGGGAGTGGACTGTGCTAGTGTGTGTAACTGTACGAGCCATGCAACAAGCTGTGATGCAGTGACAGGACAGTGCCACTGCGAGGCTGGCTACACTGGAACCCACTGTGAGCAGAGTGCGTAACATTCACTTTCTTTTTCTCTCTCAACCCAGGTTTACGCTGTATGTTTTAGCCCAATTTTGTGGTAAAGTCTGCATATGTCAACTCTACTGTTTGACTGAATGAAATAATGAGGTAAAACAGATATACATAGTTTTCTTTTTCAATTCTCTTTGCAAAATAGACCATAGAGAGTCTGTACTGTCTTACTAGTTAAGATATGCACAAGTTAGAAAAGCTGATATAGTACACCTTACCAGTACTCATGCAGCATATTGTATTTAATGAAACAGAATTATTGGAAATTGTCCATGTACAGTGCACTTCATGTACAGTGTAAGCACTGACGTCGCAGCACGTCAGTTGGGCTAACTATTTTTGTACAGTGAGAGCATATAAATGGGTTTTGACGTAAGTGATGCATGATTCAAATGTGCAGTGCCAGCCGGCTTTCCACGGCACAGCTGGCTTCACACGCAGGGAAGAACACGGATTATGTCAAAGCTTTTTCACATTTGTATCACACTAACAGTGCACTTTTTTAAAGAGTGTCCCGAGGGTTATTTCGGGCCAGGCTGCCGCCACCAATGCCAGTGTGAAAATGGTGCAGTTTGTGAACCTGTGGGTGGAGCTTGCACATGCTTGCCAGGCTGGACTGGGACATATGAAAAATGTAAGTAAGGAGACGTGTGTGTAGGTTTGGGGCAGGGCGTTGTGCATATACCACCCTGTCAACACCTAGTTTTTCAAGATCATCTTTTCTTTGTCTTTTTGCAGTAACAGTGTATTAAAGCCTAACCCGGTATCTTGTGTAATTACATATGACAGTATTTATGACTGCACTTTCCTGGGAATAATGCCTAATTGCACATGTTATTCTGTTGTTGTGGCCATCAGCAATCAAACCTTTGAAGTGTTTAAACCACCTTTGGGGGGAAATCAGATGTTTTTAAATCAGATGTTTTAGAAAAGAAGACGGTCAGATTTTTTGTCCAAGCTGCTCAACCTGCTGCACTTAATAACTTAGGACTTAATTTCCCAGACCCAGATTAAGCTTAAACCTAGACTAAATAAGATTTTAAGTGGTGAAACACCACTGCATTGCAAGGTTGTCCAGACTAGGCTTAATCCAGGTCCAGGATGCAGCACATAAAGTATTAGAAAATAGCTGTTTTATAGCTGTTAGCAAGACTTTTCTTAATCATTTTTGTTACTTGATTGAAATGCAGCATAATATAATTTAAAAAGAATGCAAGCTTTTCAAAGGCAGTGCATATCTGTAAATAAGAAAATCAAAAACATCTGTGTGTTTGTCTGCAGCCTGTCCACAGGGTTTCTACGGTCTAGAGTGTCATCAGAAGTGTGAATGTCTAAATGGTGGCCAGTGTCACCATGTGACAGGAACCTGTGTGTGTCCAGCTGGCTGGCTTGGTCTCCACTGCACCTCCAGTGAGTCTCAGTGACCTGGACATCATGCTAACACACAAGCTGTAGCTCCAAAGTAAAATGGTAAAGCAGATGTTCAGGGTTTGTGTTTATGCCAGTGGCGTGCAAAGTTCAGCACACTCATTATTTGAGCATGTTAAGTAATGGATGCCATAGGGCTCCTAGCCAGCTATGCCTGTGATGTGGAAAGTTGGTCCCTTAGTGTTCCTGGACCTGTTGTAACACTCTAAACCTTTTTTGGGGAAAGAATGTGGTGTGTTTTGCATTGAACTCTGATTGTGTTGTGTTGTGTTGCAGAATGTCAGGCTGGCATGTACGGCCTTGGCTGCCAGCAGAGCTGTAACTGCTATCATGGTGCCAGTTGTGACCCCACCAATGGGCAGTGCCACTGTGGGGCAGGCTGGACTGGGCCAAGCTGTGAGCAAGGTACAGCATATCAAACATATACAGTGTCATACACCAGTGTGCCCCCCAGCCCCCCTCCACAGTGCAGTTTATGACTGATTAGGCAGAGGTATTTTGGTTTGGCTCTGTTCCCCAGCATGTTGGATTTGAAAGGAAACCGATTATGAGCTTTTAATTTGAGGGTATTTATAATGTATATAAATATGAGTAATTTGACAAACAGAGAACGCTGATTACTATATCTCCCTACCAGGGAATGGCTTCACTGTGGTCTGTTTTAAAGAAGCAGTGTGGAAACTGCAGTAACTACAAAATCCATACCACATACTTTTTTAGCTACTACACTTTTGGTGAGGTAGCATACAGTTCACCCATTTTAAATATAAATACCTTCAAATTAAAGTTGACATTATGCACTTATGCACAAACCCATAGCCACTGTTTCATTTAAAATCTCACATTCTGGAGTACATAGACAAAAAAAGCAAAAATTACCTACAGACTGCACTGTATATGGTACATATCCATATATAATACATAATCTCTATATAGTGTGCACCACCACTATTAATAATAGTCTCTAAACATTCAGAACTAAGATAAATAGAGACTACATCCAGGCTGTTCATTTCATACATGTAAGAGCTTTCTATTCTTTTCTCCAAAACCTCACTGAATGATTTACTCATGTGGTGTTAACACAGAAATAAGATGCTCTTTAATCACTGTTACACCTGTGGGTGTCAGTTTGTGAGGCTGAAAGAAAGACAAAGTGGGCTGTGGTTTGCCTGCTACTGCACATGTACTCACATTACTTCTTATTGTTAGTCCAAATCCCCGTGCTTTAGACCACCGCTTTTGAACACACTGAACTGGATGAGGAGACGGTCTTTATCGAGTCTATAAATCAAGACGCAGTTGTGGTTCAGGATGTAATGAGTCTTTGATTTTTCCCAGAATGCTCGGCTGGCTTCTATGGGGTCGGCTGCCGCCAGCGGTGCCTGTGCCAGAATGGTGGGTTATGTGACAGGATCACCGGGCACTGCATCTGTCCCAGTGGATGGACGGGGGTTGCGTGTGAACTTGGTGAGAAGCTGAACTGTCATAGACAGAGTTCTGTGTTTATGCCACAAATTACTGAATATTTTACCACTTCCTTAAAGGAATGGTTTGGCTTTGTGTCCAAAGTTTGCTTCTTTAGCTTTACACTGGAGCCATGTGGCTAATGTAGCTTACAAGTAATGGAAGATTATATACACTAATTAGCATTTTGCAAACTGTGCAAAACCCACCCCCATCTCTCTTTCTGTCTCTCTCCATCCAATTTTCCCTTCTTCTGACTGCCCTACTGACAGAGTGTGCTCCAGGCCGCTACGGTCCTGACTGCCAGCACACATGCGAGTGTGAGAACGAGGGTGTGTGTGACCGGCAGGATGGAAAGTGCTCGTGTCCAGCAGGCTGGGTGGGCCAGCGGTGTGAAACAGGCGAGAAATGCCCATTAGCCTTCATACACACATCGTCTTAATGGCTGCACACGAATGTCTTAGAAAAAAAACTGTTAGATGATTATTTAGGCAACCAGCACCTAGTCCAGGCTGCTGAACCTGCTCTTCAGACCAAGGAAGACATTTTGATGAATGTAAAGCTGAGAACTGCAAAAGTTAGGAATGATTTTCCAGACCCAGATAAGCCTAAACCCAGACTAAATGCATATTTATAAAGGTAAAACACCACTGGCATTGGAGAGTAGTCCAAGACTAGGCTTAATCCAAGTCCAGGAAAGTAACACATAAAGTATTAGTAAATAGCTGTTCTATAGCCTTAAATAAAAGCACAAGAATGAAAAATAAACATATTATTCATGTGAGCTGTCTGTGTGTATGTGCAGCGTGTGAAGCAGGGCTGTTTGGTCCTGGCTGTCAGAAACGGTGCACATGTGAGCATGGAGCTGCCTGTGACCACATCACTGGGACATGTTTGTGCCCCCCAGGGTGGAGAGGAGTCCGCTGTGAGAAAAGTGAGTTCACATCTCTTTTATTAACGCTTGCTCTTGTCTGATGGGGCAGGAGCATTAAGGCATAAAATGAAAAAGACACATACATAACAATGCTGTCTTTACATCCAGTCCAAAACGAACAGACTGTAATGCTGCGTAAAAATTTTTAATCACAGTCAGCTTGATTTTTGTTTTTTTGTGTATGGATGCAATAAAAACCAGGCTGACCATTCAGAGCTCTGTCATCATGAAATTACAGTAGAAGAGCTCGCCTTGCTGGTGGCAGAGCACAAAAGCTTTTATGACAAGAAACACAGTGATTATGAAAATGCAAAGGTTAAAGAAAGGCTCGGAATGATGGAGAGTATCTCAGTATAACACAGCAATGTTCATAGGCAATGTATCGTATATCTAGGTGTACTGTAGTCTGTTCAAGCCTGGTCTTTTTTGTAAAATGTTTGTACCCAGTTTGTACACCTACACCTACCTAAAGTCATTATACTACTTGAGAAATCTCAGATCGTTGAAGCCAGAGCAACCAACAAAACCATCAGATTTGGTGTGAAGATTCCTCTACTTTAAAAATCACCTTTTGTTTCCCAGAAAAATCACCCTTTTTTGAGTAGGCCTTAACACTGGTGACAAGAAGAGGGGTGGCTGTGGTTATTTAAATAAACAAATATCCAAACTCATCTTGTATACATCCAGTATTTGTTTACTGAATTAGGTTAGAATATGTGCAGTTTACAGCAGAATTGAAGTTGTCTGGTAATTTTAACAGTTTTAACTGATGCTCAACAGCACAGACTGTCATAATGTTTTGTCCCATGTTTAGTGAGCTGACCGCATCTTAGTGAATCTTTAACAAATTAATGACAGATTGCTGCAGTGTAAGTTATGAAGCTCTTGAGCTATTGTTCTGTAGGTCAGCTACAGAACAATACAATTCATACAAAGTTAAATTACACATAGTGAACAAATGTTAAACCTTCAGTGCTTACATTTCTTATCAAAAAGATAAAATAATTTCTCATCGGAATATTGAATAAGAATCTGTTTTTTTCATTCTGAGTTTGACCATGAAACTCTGAAGTGGTTCATCTCTTTATTTCTTCTCTCATGTTTCTCAAAAAACGTTTAATTAAGAAAGAATACTCTTTGTTTAAAAATGAAGGGCATTCAAATTTGTCCTTAGACAGGAACAGACTGAACAAGCTATATTAATAGGAAATATTAGCCCTGTCACTGGACCTAACCCTGAGTCCTAGGAGGTGGTAAATGTAACAGAGGAACTGGACTGGTGGCTATCATGGACAGTACAAAACAGTTCATCCCCTGTCTGACACTCTGAGTGGTAGGACTAACTCAGCCAAAGACTCCTTTTACCACAGTGCTGCAGGGAAGGAAGCAGGAGGTCTGGTGTCTTTACTGCCATCTGTCTTTGCAGCTCTTCTCTCAAAAGTTTAAACAGTAGGTCCACATTAACTGTTTGTGTGTTGGATCTCCATGAACTGTTAGTAGGCTTTTACCTGTTTATATCCATGCCTTTTTAACTGCCCTAATTCATTCCCCTTTATGTACTGATTGTGTCCTTATTTACTACACAACCTTAGTGCCTGTTGACTTCATTGACCATTCTGGTTTTATCTCTACATCTTGGAAAGCAGATTGACACTTTACACTGATCAGGCATAACATTATGACCTATGCTTTCTATGCTCATTGTCCATTTTATCAGGTCCACTTACTATATAGGTGCACTTGTAGTTCTACAGTTACAGACTGTAGTCCATCTGTTTCTCTGCATACTTTGTTAGCCCCCTTTTACCCTGTTCTTCAGGTGTCAGGACCCCCATGGAACCTCACAGAACAGGTACTATTTGGGTGGTGGATCATTCTCAGCACTGCAGTAACACTGTGGTGGTATGTTAGTGTGTGTTGTGCTGGTACGAGTGGATCAGACACAGCAGTGCTGCTGGAGTTTTTAAACACTCTATTAGACACTCCTACCTTGTCAGTCCACCTTGTAGATGTAAGGTGAGAGACGATAGCTCGTCTGCTGCTGTACGGTTTGTGTTGGTCATCCTCTAGTCATCAGTGGTCACATGACGCTGCCCACTGTTGGCTGGATATTTTTGGTTGGTGGACTATTCTCAGTCCAGCAGTGACACTGAGGTGTTTAAAACTCCAGCAGCACTGCTGTGTCTGATCCACTCAGACCAGCTCAACACACACTAACACACAACCACCACGTCAGTGTTACTGAAGTGCTGAGAATGATCCACCAGCCAAATAGTACCTGCTCTGTGAGGGTCCATGGGGGTCCTGACCACTGAAGTACAGGTAAAACGGGGCTAACAAAGTATGCAGAGAAACAGATGGACTACAGTCTGTAATTGTAGAGCTACAAAATACAACTGTGCAGTAAGTGGAGCTGATAAAATGGACCATGAGCATAGAAACAAGGAGGCGGTCATAATGTTATGCCTGATTGGTGCATTTCCTCACAAATCTCAGAATGTTTCTGTTTTACTGCCCTCTGCTGGCAGTCGTAGTGTAATACATCTGTTTTCTTGTTGCAGCCTGTTTGCCTGGCTCTTATGGGGAAAGATGCTCTCAGAGCTGCCTGTGTCCTCATGGCACCTCCTGTAACCACGTGACGGGCGAATGCGGCTGCCCTCCCGGCTTCACGGGCAACGGCTGTGAGCGGAGTGAGTATGAGCAAAGCATGGTCATGGTGAAATGAACATTGCAGGAGCTACAGGAATCTGTTCGGAATTTCCCAGGTGGCTGTATCCAATCTGTGCAAGTTTCCCTTTCAGTGATATAGTAAAGCTCATTTTCTGCCTCGCTCTGCAGCTTGTCAGCCCGGGACGTACGGGTTAAACTGCAATCAGGTGTGTCAGTGTTCAGAGGCCAACCAACTCTGTCATCCTGTCACTGGACTGTGTTACTGTGCGCCGGGCTACCGTGGCGACAAGTGTGACACAGGCAAGCCTCATTTTGCACATTTTCATTCTTCTATAAAGAGCAGGTGTAAATGGTATAAAATGAATTCATGCATTGCTTTTGCTATTTTATGTTTTAAATTTTTTCTTGTTTTCTGAGTAATGTCTCGCTGTGCTTGGTCGTTGCTGTCATAGAGTGTGAGAAGGGTCGTTACGGACCTAACTGTGAGCGTGAATGCCAGTGCCTTAATGGCGGAGTGTGTCAGGCCACCAGCGGCACTTGTGTCTGCCCTCCAGGATACATCGGAGCAGACTGCAATATCAGTGAGTGACGGATGCACACTCTGCATAACAAGACCGGTCATGAAATCACATACAAAAACTGCTCATTTTTACATCATTTGAAAATGACATTGACACAGTTTTCCCTTACTGCTTTATAACATTACCTCTTCTATAGTTTTGCACTAGAGCTGACAAGCTAATGCTTCTGACACTATGACTGTGACCGAAATGCACAATGCATTAGTACTGCAATAGGACAGAACTGTATAGTTCAGGGGTGTGCAACTCTGGTCTTGGAGGGCTGGCATCCAGCACAGTTTGGCGAATTACCTGCTTGAACACACCTTATTCAACTCATCTGTCAATTGCCAGGCTTAGTGGTTGTGTTTGAGTAGGTAAACTACCAAACTGTGCTGGACATCGGCCCGTAAAACCATAATCCAATTCATAATCCATGAATCAGTAAATGATTTTAGGCTCTTTGTCATAGTAAGCCTCCATATTTTTTCCAGTTACCCAAACAAACTAATATTAGCTGTTTGAGTGAGACTGAAGTTATTTGTAGCCGTCACAAATGTTTTAGAAAGTGCAGGAATCAAGGACTGAAAAAAGTACAAAACTTTACTGGGCTACACATTTAATTTTTGGTCCATGAGTGCAGTAACCAGCTGGTGTTTTTGAAAACCCCAAATATAGGAATAATAATAGATAATGTAGTGACCTGCTGATATCTGATTAACTCCCTTCTCCAACATGTATAGCGTGTCCAGCTGGGTGGTATGGGCAGGACTGTATGCGGGTGGCTCTGTGTGGAGATGGGGCCAGGAGTGATCCGGTTACAGGCCGATGTGTGTGCAAAGCCGGCCAGCGAGGAGAGGACTGTGGACAAGGTCTGACCCGTCGCAGCATGCTCTCTAATTAAATAAAAACACATACAGTGTATGTCCACTGTCAGTGCTGCAGTTCCAGCTATTCCCTTTGTAGCTTACTGTGAAAGCATTCATTGCATATGTTTGTTAGGCTGTGCTCAGGGCTGGTTTGGAGAGGACTGTGCTGAGCGCTGTAACTGCAGTAATGGAGCAGTGTGTGATCCAGTGACAGGAAACTGCACATGTAGCTTGGGCTGGACTGGAGACAACTGTGATGCAGGTAGGGTAATTATATTGAATGAGCCTGCAGATGAAGAACTACAAATGCTAGATGCATTCACTTTCTAAGCCTTGATGCTCATTTTAGATTTTTTAAAAACAGTAAGATCTGCCATCCATGTTTGGAAGTGAGCCATATCCGCCATTAGTGTGAACAAACCTCTGCCCTAACAGGATAAACATGCATACACGCTGCCGACACTCAGTCATGATAGCAGTAATATGGCCATGAAGTGAAGTGTGATTTAAAAAAAAAAAAGAACTCCAAACTGACCATTCTCATTAGAGTTAACTGACCAATAGCTCAATTTTGATTGAATATTGATCACAAAACTTTGGAATTATCTGATTGACATCACGTTTATGCAAAAAAATGTATGATGTATATAGCTTTGTTGTACTTCATAAAGACAAATCACATGAGAAAATGGTTATGCAGAATAAACCACTTGCTCAACTCAATGCATTTGAGTTGCATTGTTTTTTAATGGCCTTCCGCCCAAAGGCTCCAGCTCCCCCCGCGACCCAGAAGGATAAGCGGCTTAGAAAATGTGTGTGTGTGTGTGTGTTTAATGCTAGCTGTAGATATACAGGTATATGTTATTTTAGCTACTTTGTTTTCATTTCTCAGAGTGTCCCAGAGGCAGGTATGGAGCTAATTGCTACCAGCAATGCGACTGCAAGAACAATGGTACATGTGACAGGGTGACAGGAGAGTGTCAGTGTGCTCCGGGATACTATGGTCATCTCTGCCAACATGGTGAGAAACGTAATAATACATATAATACAGCATGACCATCTGCTTTCACCCCATATGAATTAGGACATTCTGTACGATTGACACTGAATGATGTACAAGTTTTCAACTTTAATGGCTGACCTTCCAACGGTTTTGTCCATAGCCTATAATTCACCAGCATGCTACACGGCTATTTCTTGTAGCTAACAAGTTCCCTGTAATAAAAATGTCCCTTGTGTCTCTTTTGCTTCTCACTGTTGATGTATTACATAACAGGAAAGAGCAAATCTGTCATCTAAAGTAAATAACAGATAAACTGCCTGTAGTTTTTCAGCTCTTCTGCAAATCAAAAATCTTTCAGCATCTATCAGTTTAAAATGAGATTTTTCATTTTCTCGTTTATCTCCAGAGCTTCTTACAATGAAATGCAATGAAAGAGTTAAGCTCATCATTTCTTCTGACGAGAGTTTATGACATATAATTGAGCTATCAACACATGAATCGTGTTTATTTACCTTAGTTACCTTAAATTATTTTATCAGAGAGGCGTTTGTGGCAAGCAGCTAAAATTAATGAGTGCGAACCACCACAGACAGATACAGGATCATGATTAGCTGTTATGCTTCAGAGATGCAGCAGTTTTGACCTTTGGAGGGCAGCCAGCGAGAGACCCTAACATCAGTTAGTGAGGTTAAACTTTAGGGTGATCAAGCAACAAATGAATTAACTGACTGTCATAAATTTAGTTAAATTCTGCCTCTAAAAGTTTAAATGCATCTGTGAAGCTACTCAATGTTAAACATGCATTGCAATTTGCTAATGTGTTTTTATTATTGTTGGTAAAAATGATATCGACATATATTTGCATATAAAACTGCCATGTTTCACCCTCTGTTGTCTGTGTACGTGTTTCTAAGATACTCATCAGCTTGTTGTTCTTCTACTTTATTAAGACCCCACTGCACTGAGGTATAGGTTTGGAACAACACTACAAAATGGCTGACACACTGTATAGTGCACCATTTCTGTAATAGTGAGTGATTCTGAACGCAGCATATGGCTTTTGTGTTTAAAGCTTGCCCTCCTGGTTTCCATGGACACCGTTGCCAGCATCTTTGCGAATGCCACAGCAAGGCCCAGTGTGAGCCCAGCACTGGCCGCTGTCTCTGTCCACCAGGTTACCAAGGAGACCGCTGTGAGAGAGGTGAGGAACACTGATTATACCAAAGGACTGTTAAGTACTATTTGGACAGAATTTGTTACAGAAGGGAAGGTGCAGCGATGTAATTACTACCAGACCATCTCTGGAAGTTCCATCTGAATCTGTCATACCAGCAACTTTTTATGAACTGCACGTTTCCACATCTGTAAAAATTACTGCAGCCAAGTCATAATAAAAGATGAACTGTAGAAATAACCCCAGGGTATATCAGTGTTGTTTCAACTGACATGTTGGTAAATGTTCCATCATATCCTGCACTGAATTCATGAGATCAAGAAAAATACGAAACAAAATCTAAAATGGCTCACCACAGTAGTTTCAGCATATCAGTTTTATTTTTAATTGTGTGGGGAAAAAAATCACGTTAAACTTCAGTTAATTTTGGTAAAAATGTTACTGTAATGAACTGGAAAAAGGCTTGAATTCTTATCAATGAGAAATGAAGTCTTACAGGCTCAAATATTATTCTTACAAATACAAATTTTTAAGATGTTATATATATGTATATACACCGATCAGACATAATATTATGACCTATGCTTTCTATGCTCATTGTCCATTTTATCAGCTCCACTTACTATATAGGTGCACTTTGTAGTTCTACAGTTACAGACTGTAGTCCATCTGTTTCTCTGCATACTTTGTTAGCCCCCTTTTACCCTGTTCTTCAGTGGTCAGGACCCCCATGGACCCTCACAGAGCAGGTACTATTTGGGTGGTGGATCATTCTCAGCACTGCAGTAACACTGGTGTGTTGGTGGTGTGTTAGTGTGTGTTGTGCTGGTCTGAGTGGATCAGACGCAGCAGTGCTGCTGGAGTTTTTAAACATCTCAGTGTCACTGCTGGACTGAGAATAGTCCACCAACCGAAAACATCCAGCCAACAGCGTCCTGTGGGCAGCGTCCTGTGACCACTGATGAGGGACTAGAGGATGACCAACACAAACTGTGCAGCAGCAGATGAGCTATCGTCTCTGACTTTACATCTACAAGATGGACTGACAAGGTAGGAGTATCTAATAGAGTGGACAGTGAGTGGACACAGTGTTTAAAAACTCCAGCAGCACTGCTGTGTCTGAACCACTCACACCAGCTCAACACACACTAACACACCACCACCACATCAGTATTACCACAGTGTTGAGAATGATCCACCACCCAAATAGTACCTGCTCTGTGAGGGTCCATGGGGGTCCTGACCACTGAAGAACAGGGTAAAAGGGGCTAACAAAGTACGCAGAAAAACAGATGGACTACAGTCTAAGATGATAATACCTGCTCTGTGAGGGTCCATGGGGGTCCTGACCACTGAAGAACAGGGTAAAAGGGGGCTAACAAAGTACGCAGAAAAACAGATGGACTACAGTCTGTAATTGTAGAACTACAAAGCGCACCTATATAGTAAGTGGAGCTGACAAAATGGACAATGAGCGTAGAAACAAGGAGGTGGTCATAATGTTATGCCTGATTGGTGTACATACATATATGTATTAAATGTTGTTTGCATACTATATTTTGCATGGTGCTGTTACCGCCATGATTTATAAATCTGGCCTCAAGTCTGCTTATGAGCAGTGGAAACTACTATGCATGGAACTTCTTTGGTGTGGCGACTATCTCGTGAAATGCTATAGTTTTGTGACAGGTTGCTACACCTGTCATTTCCAATAAGAGTCTTTTACAAAATAAACCCAGTGAATAAATGCTGAAGAGCACAGAACCTAAAACTAACACGTCAAAAACATTTCTCGAACACACTACAGTACTTTAGTTAAACATTTGTGAAGGTACCAACCAAAAGTCTGCTGTCTGAGCAGTGCTGCTATTCTCCTCTCAGACTGTGAGCAGGGCCGGTTTGGGCCCGACTGCGCTAACACATGTGACTGTGATGGAGACACACCATGTGACCCTGTGAGCGGCAGATGTCTTTGTGCACCAGGAAAGATGGGAACCCGCTGTGATATCAGTAAGATTCATTCATTCTAGTGGCAAATATTACTGTAAGGTCTTTTTTTCCTCTGTAATTCATTTTGATGCTGTAAATTTTACATAACAGTGTTACATTTACTCAATTTTCTTGTGCTAAGCCTGTGCACTGAATCGCTACGGTCCGGAATGTTCGGAAAGCTGTGAGTGCACACATGGAGCACAGTGTAATCCACGGAACGGGCAGTGCACGTGTCCAAACGGCTGGATGGGACCAAGCTGTTTAGAGGGTACATCTATCATTTCTTGCTTAGGGAACAAAAAGAATTCTTTTACATTCCCTTTAGTTACTTCACTGTTTGACTTTTCTACAGGCAGCATTCTTACATCTGCTCATCAGCTTCACAGAAGCAAAAAGAAGGATCAAACACGACTCAGCTCGCCAGTATAACAGCTGCAAAAATGACCCTTTACCTTAATGACCATTTAGCCTTGCAGCAAGCCAAACAAGTGCACTACAAACTTTCTCCACAATGGAAACATGTTTATTCAGTACCTGAGGAAACTTGACCACAATGATGGGAACTTTTAGACATAAATAACTTTCTTTTTTTAATATTTGCAATAATGACCAATGCACTGTACATGCAACAAGGACTCCTCGTGAAGGAGAAACATGGTCATCATGGCTACAGATGCTGATTTGTAAAACTCTCTTGCATCTCACTGGGAGGAATACTGACGGAGTACACCCTGGCAGCATCCAGACCAAAGATGAAAGAATGGAAAGATCAGGGTAAATGTCTGCAGGTTGGACAGAAGACATCACAAGTTTGAGTTTCGTTCCAAAGATTTGTAAAAAATGTGTTAAAAATAATATCACTGTTGTCAGAAGAAAACCTCTGATCTCCAAAATGATAACTTTACAGGAGAAGGATAAAAAAAACCTACTTTACTTTTAATGTAAGTCAATGGAACCAGACTTTTTTCCAAGTCATTTTAGGTCATTACTTTTACTTTTTCCATTCATCGTGAAATTTACATGCAGTGTAAAGGGTAACAGGTATTTTCAAATTATGCCAAAAACTGAAAAATTTCAAAAATGGAGATACGAGGTTTTATTCCAACAACAGTGATATGTTTATATACATGTATGAACAACCCTAGTGAGTATTAAGAAATGCTTTTAATTTTTTTTAACAGAATGAATTTGTATCAAGAACACTGATAAAATCATCACTTTATATAGGTCACTATCATTTTTGAAGCATTTTCTCTCAAAGCCTATTGTGCACAATACTGTGCACTGTAAATATAAGGCCACGATATTCTGTGATGCTGTTTCTAGCAAAAATCAGTAACACATGGATGATAAAAATGTGCTAGATTATGCAATAATGCAACTAATAGAACAAGCATAAAGTGTTTTACATATGGGCTGTACATAAACAGTGAAAGTGTAATATTGCTGAGTAGCCTGTACGTTTGTTTTTTGTGTGCATGTGTGCATATAAGTACTGTAAAACCTTAATCTGCTAAACACCTCCATTTTACTGTATAAGAAATGTTACTATTTTGATTACATTTATAAAAAAATATTTTATAGAAGGATGTATTTTTCTACATATGTCTCAAAGACAATTCATCTGTAAATTCTGCTCTGTATCCATAAAGTGGAAAATGCACTACACAAAAACAAAACAATTCATTTTTCAGTACGAGTTGTTTTAAACCAGGGATAAATACAGCACTTCTATTTCTCAGTTGTATATAATGCTTTAAAATAAAGCTGAGTCTAGCAGACCTTTACTGTAGTCTTTAATTAATAAGGTGATTAAATATAAAGGATTCTGGAATCAAGCTGTACACATGATTACATAAAGTGCTGCCACGCTTAAGTAATGAGCCACACACTTCCACAATTTACGCATTACAGTTTATTTTCAGTTAAGTTTTAAGCTGTACATATTTTTCTTCAAGCTCAATGTAATAAATGCTTGCCAAGGCAAAAGTGATGACATCCAGTAAAACCAGTACAGTATGTAGAGGTCAGACTGAGGAATCAGACTGACATCCCAAGATGTATGTATTCAAAAGGAAATGAAAACATTGTTCACACAATGGTCAACAACAACAACTCAGGCTGTAAAACAAAATTCTCATCATCTAATTCCTGTCAAATCTTTAAAACATCTTATCCAAAATGATCCGATTTCATTTACATACAGCCGCTCCTATTGATAACATAGGATTACTGGATTGTTTAGCGTCTTTATACAACAAGGTACTCAACTTGAGCTAAATCTACAGGGAAATTCAGGAATTCCCATCCTCGGAGGAAAACCTTGCTCAAATAAATAAGAGGCTGTTTAAGAAAAATTACATGCACCAACAGCGTTTCGCTTTGACGAGGGTCGTCCTCTACATGCTGCAGCACACACACAGCTCCACGTGAGCCACACCCGATGAAGAGATATTAATGGCTTTTGAGCAAGTGCAAATATATAGTAAATTCTGCTGCTCATCCAAGGACTGCTGAGATACAACCAGAAGCTTGATGCCGCACACGGTACATACAGCTAAACTCATTTACCGTATAACAAGACCGTCTAGTTTGGTGGATACAGAGATTCTGCAAAGAACACTACATACAAACTTTAACACAGATGAATGTCTGTAGACACCTCACGTAACCCTCAGCAGTCAGACCTGACTGCTAAGCCACTGTCCTTCAGCAGTGGACTTTGATTAAAGGAGCCTTTAAAAGCCCAAGGGCACTCAAACATTGTATTTAACTACTTTTTGATGGGCTTGTTAATGTATTTATTAAGTCTTTAGCCAGTTATTTATGCACTTAGTGACAGCTGCATATATTGTAAGACCACTTTTATGTGTGGTTTGCACTGCAATGAAATCCTTTCATCCTCTGATCAGCTCTGAGATATAAACACGGGGGCTCATCTTTTACAGTGAGCTTTTTTACGGTGCCCTAATTCTGCTTCTGCACTCCAAATGCAATCTTAGTACGTGGGTGTCAGTAGAGTTTTATACAAGATGTACATTATGGCCTACTGTACAAATGGTAAAACTGTCTGGAAATTACAGGCATACAAACCTCTGTACTGTACTTCAGACTGCCAGCCTTTACTGTGATAATAAATTTGTAAACGATCTAACGTGAGAGATACATTTCAGACAGTACCATTCGCAAAAGAAGCAACATGTACTGGAATATTTTCATGCGTAGTGACAGTACAGTGCTCTACAGTCCATATTAATGAGAAAAGAGACAAAAATTTGAGACAGTTTTTGGAAGTATACCATAACTGAAGCAGTGTTTGCTTACATGTGAACAGTGGTTTGTGGAACAGCCTTAAATGAGATGGTCAGTGTGAGGATTTGGTGTTGCTGTAATTGTGTCTCTGGCACTGTCCCTGCAGTGCAGCACTGCCCAGCAGAGGGAGCCACTGGCCAAACAAACACAACGAAACAATACTGTCTCTGATAGGACAATAAAAGAGGCAGGAATCAGCCTCTGAAATCGATTGTTGGGGTCAGTACTGAGCACACCAGTGGTCAAAGTAATTCAACGTCTCTTCAAACTGGAAATGATTTCACTGTGCTCCATACTTTACAAGATAAAGTAATATTAATAATAATAATAAAAAAAAACACATTGTAAATAAATAAATATATATTAAAGGATGAGCTGTGCTCTATTCTCTAAAACAAATGATTAGTAATTAAATATTTAACATTAAGGCAAATCAGCAGATATGGAACAGTGGAAAGATGAATTACACTAAAAAAACTTATGATAAAAATGAGTTTTCATCTATATGCTCCTTTTAAATAATCCAAGATATGTGCGCATTCCACATGTATATTAGGAGGACATGTCTATAAATATTTTGGGAGGAAAATAGAGAAGAATACATACACTAATAAGAATTCTTTGGTTTCAGCCCAGCGAACCACTGTTGCCTGGATAGTTGACTGTATGCAGTAATATTTAAACTGCTCACTTGCTTCCTAACCTACAGTGAAGGGTTTAAAGCACTACGGGGAGGCGAGGGCACCCACACTCTTTCAAATATAGAGAGCCCCTTTAGACATTATAATTTAAACTTAATATACAGTTTCTCATTTATGCTTACTGGAAAATGAACGGGGGTAAGAATTTTCATGAATTTCTGAAGACCAAGATGTTCAAAACCTCTCTACTAGCACAATCAGATCAGCAGAGGCCCCTGCAGGATGTGCTAGTGTTAACCCTAGGCTTATTACACACCAAGGCTTATTATTAAGCATCCACATGGACTACAACGCAAACTGGTTATTCTTAGGTTACTGAAGTGTGTAGTTGAACGCTGGACCTGCCGGTGGGTCCTGGGTGTAAAAGGGGTTTTAAAAGTCGTCTTTGTAGTCTTCATAATTTTACTGCTCAGGAGATCCGACCGCCATTCTCCAGGCAGAGGTGGATGATGATGTGTAAGGCATAAAAATTTACTTCACTGACAAAAGCATTCCTTCATTCCGTTACAGATTTGTCAGTGACCGCAGTGTTTGACCAATGCTATTACGAATGATATGCTGACTATTTTCCAATAGCTTTTGTAAGATGGTTATATTTCCAGGGTAAAGGACAGAAAGCATGTGCTTTGGCCTGTGAATCACATGCATGTATAGAATAGATACAGATGTTCCTCTGGAACTCTGCGTTTACTAGTTGTCTAAAAGAGAAAGAGCAAGCGAGTGAATGAGCGTGTTCCGTTTCTGTGGTTCCTCTCTGGATTAAAGGAGCGTTCTGCTCGTTGAGGCGGCCTCTACCTGATTTTGTCCGGGTTTGCGCCCCTCTCCTGCTTGTCGTTCTGAAGATCTTTTACTCTTCCCACCTACAATCAGCAGACTCCGTTGGGTGTGTGAGCTGGCCTGTCCAGCAGGACCTGTGACCGTGCCAGTCCTGTGTGCCAAGGTCTCATTCAGTCAAAGCTCAGGCAGACAGAGGAGCAAACAGAGCAGAGAAACGCTCCCTCTAGGACCTGTAGTCCTTTTTACTGTACGGCTTGTTGCCTAGGATACTGTCCACCTCATGAATGATTGATGATGATAACTTCGGAAGAACCTGCATGAGAAAACATAAATATTCTCTGAACATGAATACTGCATGGAAGTCACGTTTACCAAAGCGTGATTAAAGCATGATGGTTGGGCAAAAAAACTAATTTACACAATTTTCTCCTTACATTAAATGTAGCTGACCAGCTAAGACATACTTCATGCCCAAAGTTCGCTTCTTTAGTTTTGCACTGAAGCTAAAAGGCTGATGAAGCTAACAAATAATGGAAGCTTATTCTCCATCACAGCCTGAATTTTGTTTATATTTAGGTTAAGTAGCCTATTTGCTGCAGCCCCCCCCAGTGGAATGGAATTTTTTTTAAATTAAATTAAACATTTTACTCATAACTGAGTGTGTTTACATGAACTCGATAATCTGATCATAATCGGATTTCTGAAGTTATCTCCGATTTCTTAGATTGGAGTGAGGTCTCAAAAACTGATTAAGAAATCCGATAAAGAGAGCTTTTAGCTCAGTAATCAGATTTCTCAATGCATGTAAACTCTTACTCTGATTTCTTTTGGATTTCTCAGTCTGCGCATGTGTGAAAACAGACCGTGTGGCCATAAATAACCAAGCAATGTTGCCACAAGATGCAGCAAAATGACGCTGAAATCAGCTACGCGCTTGACTAAATGAAGGATTTAAATATTCTTCATCTTCTAGATGATGTATGTTCATATTTTCAGGTAAAGTGGCACGATTAAATGTCTGTGAGTTTATTGGCTGGTTGCAAAGCAGAATCCGATTACTGTCTGACTCATGTAAACCTGGAGTTTCCCCATTATCTGATTACTCAAGTGCATATAAACTTGTTGATCGGATTACTGACAAAATCTGATTTTCTGCAGCTATTGGATTATTAAGTGCATGTAAACACACTCACTGTCATCAGATTAACTAGGACACTTGATTCACTGTGAGTGAAATGCTGTGAATGTGTTGAGCTGCTAGTGAGCAAAGAGGACTGAAAGAGGATGAGCTGTAAAAATCTTCACACATTCTCTCCACAAAGACAGCTGCATCGAGATAAAACAGAAAGCACTTTACTTTGTTGACTTGCTTGCTCACCTATTCAGATGAAAATCCAGTTTAATAATCAATGTAAATCACACACATAAGGGACCCAAAACAAAGTGGACATTGCATTTTATGGCTTTTGGCTATTGTTTTGTCAGTTACTTTAACTGCTCAAGGGCCACGAGTTCCAGTACACAGAGAGCTTTAGCTTTACTTTAAAACAAACCTTGGTCCTCAACTGAAAAACTGTCAAAAAAGCCCATATAAAGAGAAATAAGTGGAGTGGAACATCTAAACTGCCTTTAGATCACTTTACACGTGTAACTTGAGAGCATCCTTCACCTTCAGTGAAAGCAGGATGACCTTTGCAGCTGGTGAGCCAAACTGAAGAAGCAAACTGGAAAAGCTCTGTAAATGATCATCTACACTAGTTATAATCATGCTCTGTGAGACTGGTATAGTAGCAGGATTTGCACTGATTACTCTGTTCACTAAGCTTTTCCTTTGCATTACATTATTACGTTTCACGCATGGCTTCCCTGAGGGACGACATGATGAAAATCCCAAAATAAAGAACATTCAGGGCTGTAATATTATGTAATATCCATTTACATTAATAGTCAGACATGGTCTTAATGTGATTAGTGGCTTTTCCGAAGCTTGACTTTCGTTAATTGGGACACTGACTCTCATATTTCAGTAACCAGTGTGTGTGTGTGTGTGCATACACACACATTCATACAGCTGAGGAAAATGAACCAACCAAGGACTTGTGCTTGGGTCAGTGGCTCACCTGTATGGCTCCGATATTCTCCATCAGCTGGTCGGTGCTGGATGCCCCCAGCAGCACGGAGCTCACACCCTCATTCCTCAGACACCACGCTGGGAAGAGACACACACACACACACACACACACACACGCACACAAACCACAATGCAGCACAGCACAGCAAAGGAGGCAGTCAGCATCATCTCCACGCTCCCTCAGCAGATGTCTAATAAAATGCTTCTGGTTTGTTAGCTGACATGTGCAGTGATGTGTAAGGAACTAAATGTTGTAAGTCAGACGTTTTCAGGTTTTTCTTAGTTAAACGATTTAGAAAACCGGGCCTGGGCTGACAGCACCACCTGAATAAAACCTACACCATTTACAGCACATGTTCATTTACTTAGGCTACGTTCACACTGCAGATAAAAGCAACATAGACAAAATCTTTTTCTTTATATGTGACCCATTTGTTTTTGTGTGACGGTGTGAACAGTAAAACACACATAGAATCTGTTTCAGTTTCAAACTCGGAATAAATGCAACTTTTACATCAATCAAACTCAATCTTCATTAATATATCTTAATATATTGCGTGTACAGGAACAGACCTCTTACAGCAACACCACTGAAACCACAGTTACTATTCATGTATTCCGTTCTGGAGGACAGGCAGTGTCAACAAACAAGCGCAGCACTTTCTAACCAGAGAAATCAAACTAACAGCTATTCATAATCAGGGAGAAGCAAAGGAGACTCCCACAAATCAAGTGTCTTTATCCAAAGTATATAATCACCATTTCTGGCACTGTTAGCGTCTCTTTGCTAACATTCTTTTTCAAGGTACGTGATCGAAAGAGGCTGATCTTTTTCTTTCTGATCAGCTTCCAGAATTAAATCAAGCACAGAAATTCCTCCCTTCATTTTTCACTCTTTTCTGGAAACTTCGTTCAGTGTCGTTTAAGCGTCTTCAAGTTTAAATTGATGTTAGCAGGTTACACAACTCATTCTGAGTCTATGAGTTTTAAGGAAAGGTTGAGGACAGCTGTGTTTGTTGTTTGAGTGGGTCAGGTGGGTCAGTGTTCTTTACCACATGTAAATCAGTCCAGACTGATGATATAAACCACATTAAAAGGATAATGTAATATGATGTATTTGTGTAGTAGATGGGATTTGGGCCACTTTTATCTGCAGTGCTAACAGCACAGAGACTTGATGAGCACATGTCGTGCCTGTAGATGCGTATTCCTGAGTGTGAGCCAAGCATTATGCAATGTTTCTACTGCAGCACTTAAACAACTATATTCTTACATAAAGCTGTAGAGGAAACTAGTGGCAGATAACTGAAAAAGATGGATGTGGGTGGGTTTGGTGTGTGTGGGCATTACTCTATCACACACAAGTCACTTCTGAGAGCAAGTTTATTCAAGCTATACAAATAAACAGACTGATTCCATTTTAGCTCTGTCCAGTTCGTAGTCAGATGGTAGTGTATTTCGGATGCTTGCTGTTATTTTAACACTAAATTGAGGCCACGTATCTAGAAAAAGCAACTGCCTTTTTTATAACATCACTGTAGAAATATCCAGGCTTGTTTCTTATCAGTTTGTCACTCTGAGATAATGTTGAGGTTGATCTGTGGCGTGACCATTAGAAAGCCACCTGCAGTGAGCAATTGGTGGTGTAGATTGAGGTGGCAGTAGTTCTGAAAATAGCACTTTCACACACTGCAGGGTGCTCACCATGTTCACAGGCATCTTTCACTTAAAACAGCCACGGGGACTGACACGTTAAATATATGGCAAACTCGCAAACTCCAGTGTCCTACTTAATGTTCAGTGCAGTGGCCTGTGCGACTGCATCATCTACTGTATAGCCCTGGCTCAGTGCCATCCACGCTAACTTTTACTAAATCAACACTGGCACTTACTCTGACCTTCTGACATATGAATAGCCCTCAGCACTTCATCTGAAAAATACATCTTACTAAGTAACAGCCATTTGCAGCAACAGAGTCAAAGTCTCATTATAGATAACGATCAAATTACATGATGTGAAAAGGGAAAGCTCAACACAGAACTATTTCCGCATAAATGCTGTCATCAAATCAGTCACTTGGACACTCTAAACTTAACACTAACATAACCTCTCCCTGCTTATGTTCTTATGAGCAAGCTTACAAAGTATTTTGAATATGTACACATGATAATGTAGTACTTAAATTGATGTATTTCACTTGACTTGTATAGTGATACCAAAGTCAGCACAGCAGTATGGTGGCACAAATTACCACACATTTGTAGTGTAAGCCTGTAAAAATGCTTCAAAGGTGATGAATACTCTCACTCTTAGTGTTGTGTGAAATGCAAAATGTGCTTGCAGTTCTGATGTAAGTGACTTACCATTTCATTAATTTTATTTTTCACAGTGGTTGATCATGATTTTGTAATTGTGTACTATTAACAATTTATTGCTTCTTATATCGTCACTGGAGTATATAACAGCTTTATCGAACATCGCGTTTTATGTCTATATCGTGCAGCCCTAATTGCTACAATAGCCAGTTCAGTGGTACTATAGCCAGTACAGTAGTACAGTAGTATATTGGTACTCAGAGCTGGGAAACAAAGACACAAATCACCCACCATGGAAAACTGCCATCCCTCCCTTGCATGAATTGGGAGTTGTAATTACATTGGTGTAGTGGCAATATACCCACTACAATGGTATAGTGGTACGGTACCCAATACAGTGATATAGTAGTACTGTAGCCAGTACAGTAGTATAGTGGTAGCAAACTAGAACTGTGGTATAGTGGTACCATACCCAGCACAGTAGTATAGTGTTACTATACTCAGTACAGTGATATAGTGGTAGCATACTAGAACTGTGGTACAGTGTTAGCATTCCCAGTACAGTGGTATAGTGCTACTATACCCAGTAGAGAGGTATAGTGGTACTATACCCAGTACAGTGCTACAGTGGTACTGTACCCAGTACAGTGGGGTAGTGGTCGCATACTAGTATAGTATACTGTGGTATAGTGGTACTGTACCCAGCACGGTGGTATAGAAGAACCATACCCAGTACAGTGGTATAATGGTACAATAACATGTACAGTGGTTCAGTGGCACCTTACCCAATACAATGGTATACTGGTAGCATACCAGAACTGTGATACAGTGGTACCGTACCCAGTATAGTGATGTAGTGGTAGCATACCAGATCTATGGTATAGTGGTACCGTACCCAGCATAGTGGTATAGTAGTAGCATACCCAGTCAGTACAGATGTACTATTCCCAGTACAGTGGTATAGCAAGTACAGCGTTATTGTAGTACCATACTCAGTACAATGGTGTAGTGGTATAGTGGTACCGTACCCAGCATAGTGGTAGCATACCCAGTCACTACAGTGGTACTATTCCCAGTACAGTGGTATAGCAAGTACAGCGTTATTGTAGTACTATACTCAGTACAATGGTGTAGTGGCACAGTGGTATAGTGGTACCGTACCCAGTACAGTGGTATAGTAGTACCATCCTCAGTACAGTGGTATAGTTGTACCATACTCAGTACAGCAGTATAGTGGTAGTATACCTAGTACAGTGGCACAGCAAGTACAGTGTTACGGTAGTACCATACTCAGTACAGTGGTATAGTGGTAGCATACCAGTACAGTGTTATGGTAGTACCATACCTAGTACAGTGGTATAGTGGTATCATTCCAGGTATAGAACAAAAGCTTCATCACATGCCAGCAGTTCTCTCAAGCAAGACCAACATCAACACCAAAACAATACCATGTCCAACACCAGACGGACAACAAGAAGTAGACAACAAACAGACGGGATGCGGACACGGCCTGCCCTGAGCTCCAGGCAGGCAGACAGACAGACAGACAGAAAGAGAGAGAGCAGCAGAGCCGGGGCAGCATTACCGATAGCCAGCTGGGGCAGTGTGCAGCCCAGCCGCTCCGCGATGGCCTGCAGCTCTTTCAGCTTCGCCTGCTGACGCCGGCCTTCCTCACTCAGGATCTTGTCCTTCAACCACTGGTAGCCCTGTTCCAAACACACAGCACATCTGCTGAGAGAGGTTTATCTGAGTGCACAGAGACCCTAGAGGGGCTTAGCTGGGTGCCAAGACTTCATGCAAACAGTAAAACAGTTAGCAGAGTGGAATCAGCTCTTTTGAAAGCAACGTGCACAGAACTATACATGGTACGACACAAAGGCACAGCACATCACAAAGAGAGAGTGAAAGGTTTGGGTCTAATATAAGAAAAATAATATCATAGTCATTCTACTTAAAGAACATAAAAACAATACAACTAAAATGGAGATTATATGAAGGCCTTGATGTCTTCAGATCATAAACACACTCAGAGCTGTGGAAGACAAGAAGGAAACAGGCATTAGCAAGAAGACATCAGTACAAACACAGGGTGGAACAGTGGGAGTCAGCGACAGAGACAGGGCAGTCATTTCACACATGGCTGAGTGGATACCTTCAGAGAGGCACGTGAGTAAGGGGGCACTCCACTGTCGTACTTCCCTGAGATGATCCCGCAGGCAAGAGGGGACCATGTCATGGCACCCACGCCTGCAGACAAACAGATGGACATCAGCTTTTGAACTAAGCTGACCTCTGGTTGGAAACGCCATTGTTGTTTTTATAGCTTGTCAGGGCCTGAGGTTATTCATATGCCTTACATGTATTAGGCAACTATTACTATGCAAAAAGAACTTTCTAACTCTATCCTTAACTTCAGTAACCACAAATTGATAGTTGTGCAACCCCTAACACACACACACACACACACACACACACACACACACACACACCTATCTTGTGGAACAGTTCGGGCAGCTGCACCTCCACTTTCTCTCTCTGGAACATGTGGTACTCGGCCTGCTCACAGATGGGGGGGATCAGGTTAAACTGCCGGGCCACTGAGTACGCCTCCTGAGGAACACACACATCAGAGACAGTGGGAGCCCTGTTTTAATAGTGGACAGGCATCTCAGGCCATGTCCTGTGAAGAGGCAGAGGGTGCATCTTCTATTTTTAGCACAAGCTACAAATACTTTAACTAACTAAAATCATTGTGTCAGTTTTCTAAGAAAACTTATTTCAAGTCTTATTAATTTTTAATACCATTTTAAGAAATGCCAGCTGCTGTTTACAATGTGTGTAAAATTCAGGACAAGGAGACCAATGGAAAGTTTTCTTATGACTGCAGGAATATACTTGATCCTTAAAGTGCAGGCTTGATTTTAGGTTATTAATGTTACAACTTATTATTCAGTTACTACAAGGGATATGAATTTTGGCAACTTCTTTTGACGGATAACAGGCCTTTATTAGTCACTGATTAATCATTAGCTGACAAACCTAAAATCTACCATCTAAATTGCCAAGTTGTAATATATAAATTGTTTATAACAAGGCTTTATGCGTTATTGAATAAAAAAATGCTGCTAAATATCCCAGTCATTTTTGGTGAGAAATACCAACATATCCAGATGAACTCCAACATGTCTGGGTTTGGGGATGACTCTTGGCAAAAGACTCAGAGAGTCGAAAAGCATGGATTTTAATCATATCACTGTGATCTGTAGCTACTCAAAAAATAGTGTAAACCACATTTAGGATGGTTTAATCACTACTATATCTTTTTATCAAGGACTCTGGTGCTATGAGTTAAAATTAATTAAGCCAGAGAAAACCCAGAGTTGTGCCTCACTAAGTATGGCTACCAGAATAAGTTGCCCTCATGCAAACAATTCAAAAACAGTCCTCAAGTTGAAATGAAAAACTCGCCAACTCAAATATCAACTGTTTATCAGATATTAAATGAACTTTTTAACCAAAAGTATTGGTCAAATATTTATGTATTCAGTTAACACTTAATTTGTTCATTACTAACATCTGTTGTCACTATTATAAATTATTCAGTATTATTCAGTATTTACGCAGTTCTAAGAGTGAAGAGCTAAAGTGGGGGCCCACATACAGACCCCTGCAGTTTAAAGAGTACGGCAAGTCTCATAGACTCCTAAACTCACCATGATTTCCATGGGGCTCCAGCGAGATGTCCCCCAGTACATGGCCATGCCTTGGTTAATGACGTGCGTCATAGCTCGCACCGTCTCTGCCAATAAAAACAAACCATGCAATTAGAGCTGGTCACAACAAGCACTTCAACCATAAGACGAATTCACAAAAGGCAAAGGCTGCTGGGAAGGAGAGAAACAGAGCATAACCAAACAGAGGCTGAGGGAAAGAAAAGAATTTCAACCAAACTAAAACAACAACAAAACTGCAGAAATTAGATGGAAGAGGAAAGGAAAAGCAGTAGCTTTCTGAGAAACGCCTTCAGTACAAAAGGTCATTTTGTATTTATACAATCTGACAAATCATTGAAATTAGCCTGAGGGTTTTTACACACATACTGCAGGGGTCAAAGTGTGTTTCAGCAAGTGAAGAACAATTCTATGTTACACTTCACACAACGTGACAGCTCCAAAATGCTGCATTTCACTGACATTTACAAAAAGAGAGATTTTCATGGTTACATGGCTGGACTTATATTGAGTACTGACTACTTTAGTCAAAGTACATAATGTGTAATGTGTAAAGGTACAAAGTACATAATATCTGCAGAGACTCTGTCTGAAGCACCTACAGCTACATTATGTAGAAGCCAAATAAGAGGTATGCATGTACAGGTAATTCTCATGAGATCAAGCTAGTGCTATGGTGGTGAGGGATTTCATGTAAAAAAAACACACAATTTATCAATGAGTCTGATAAATTTGATGAGGTTTAACTATAGAAATTGAACTGAATTCGCATTACTGCAATTTGTTTTTAATTTCGGAAACACATACCTGTAACTGACTCTTCATGCTAAGATTTGATATTTTTAAATAGTTTGTTTTTAACATTTCTGGCCATTTGTTTAATGTGGTAATGTGCATTTATCTGGTCAGGAAAATGTTCATAAAATGTGATAAACTGTCAAATAAATTGTCATAAATGTCTGGATAATACTGCTCAAAAATCATTTACACACAATAAATAATAGAAATAATTTTAAGCCTGATCCAAATAAAATCAATGTTTTGTAAGTATAACCCATATACTGTATGTATTATTTGTAATATGCCTTTTTTAATATTTAAATAGTTTAGGATTGAGGCCATTGCCTTTTAGACTGGAATCTAAAAGGCAAAAAAGGCCAAAAGGCTGTCTGACTCAGAAGCTCAACTATAAATAATGATTTCTATCTTCTAAAATGCTCATACTATGTAAAAAGACTTCAATGCAAACAGAAGTGAAAAGCGAAATTCAGCATTCCTTCAGGGAGATTCATTTAGGTCTACAATTACTGTCAGTACAGCTTCCTATAGCCTTTGTAGTGTCCTGCACTGACAAAATGTGTGAATAGCTGCAAAAGATGCTCACTCACACATGCAAAGGTTAAAAAGCATATTCAGTAAATGCTAAGGAATGTAAATGAACATGCATGAAAGGAAGCAGACCTTGGCATCACCGCCATTACACTGTCAACAATCATCTTGCAAAAAGTGTGTCAACCGAAGCAGATCTAACAAATGGTAGCAGATACACGTGGAATAGAACAAGTAACACAGTAATGCTAGTGTGTGTGACTTCTTAAGTGTTTCAATACATCACTAACAGACAGAGGGAGACTTATTAGTAGATTAGATAGTGAGCGAGAGATAGACTGGGGAGGGAGAAAAGCCAGCACCCATATGGGAAGATGTCAATTGGGTATATGTTCCAGTGGAAAAAGGTGTATATACACAACTGAACCTCAAAGGCAAATATCAAGGGAAAAACAAATGAGTGGAAGTTTAAATATTCAAACTGAAATTAAAATGATATGCATGGATACAAGAATCAGTAAGATGCAATGACCTTCTCCCAGTTCACTTTGCAAGATGTATAGGAGAACCAAACAAATCAATCATTCTAAAGCAGACCAGTTTCTAAGGTATTTCTGGAGAAAGTCAGCATTTTATGGACATGGTCAGGTTTCTCACACCAGGAAAAAACAGGGCAAAAAGGTCACAATTCATTGCCATAAAATGCGTTTAGAGACGGGAGGTCAGAACTCTCACTGAGGGTACTGTGTACCTTCTATGATGAATGTTCTTGATTTTGAGGTGTTAAATGGATCTCCTGGTGATAAAAAACAAACAAAGGATTGTGAAAGAATTCGATAAACTTAAGAATGGAATGAACTTTTGAGGAAAAGCAGCAGTTCTGGAACAGAGCAGCTTCTGTTTTTTGGGTTCGCACAGTCATTTCTAAAGGACCTCCCACAGCAGCATCAGCCCCTGCCATCAAACCATCCTGCTATGTGTCAACTGTACACAAGACATGGCATCTCCAGAGCAGCATTTTTAAAGTGCAGTTCTCATATTACAGCGTTACTGATCACTTTAAACAAGCTTGAAATGATCTCTTTCGAAAATTAGCCAGCTTAAAAAAGAATCTGAAAATACACTGATCTGATGATAATGAATCTGTAAATAGTTTACTGTGAGAGCCATGCTGTAGCACTGTAAACATTAGAGATGGAACGATCGATTGGCTGGAACGATGTATCAGTATTGGTTGATTTTCAGCCCAAACATGCGATCGCTGATCAGCCGGTATTTTTCTAACTTAGCCAATCCTGAGAGCTGATCAGTGGCGGAAAACATATGAGCTGTATTTAAGGATTGCTGCAGCCCTCCATGAGGCTCCTTGGTCACGGGACCCTGCAGTCCCTCGTTCAAATGCTAGATGGAAATAAAGACCTTTTGACTTTTGACTACTGGACTCAAGGCCTATTTACACAGAGTCCAATTTTTATGGATAAAAAATGCTTGTCAAGTTTCGAAAATGAACACATATTAATGCCGTCTTTCACACCAAGTCAAAAACTGATGGGCTGCGATGCTGCGTACATTTTTAAGCACTGCTCTATTTTTTGCATTGTAATGATGCATTAAAATCAGGCTCCATTGTCATGGTTGCAGCCCAAACAAATGTGCATCAAGATGGTGGCAGAACTCCTGTAGCAGAGCACAAAAGCTTACATGACAAGCAAACGCTGGCTAAAGAAATGCAGAGGTTAAACAAAATAGGCTGTGAATGACGATCAGTGGGTTACAGCAACTGTATTTATGAGATCATTTGCTCCTTTTTAATGAGAGGAGCAACACGTTTAAGCAGAGCCTCCACCCCTTGTCATTTTTGTAGAATTGAATGTACCCAGTGTGTGCACCGTTTAGCTGCTGTGCTTAAAACAAAAAACTATATAGACAGAAACACGCTTCAAATAGCATCTGTTTTTTTTTCTTGTCCAAAAAATCATACTTTATGTAAATAGGCCTTAACAGTCCAGCCCTGCCCTCAATAAGGATCAGCAATCAGTATTGGCCCCATAAACACCGACCGGTCCATCTCTAGTAAACATGCCAGATTTGATCAAACAGTAGCTAAAAATTTCATAAACATGCCAAAGTCTAGAGGCCAGCAGATCATTAAGTATCCCAGTTTTGGCCACAAACACAAATTCACTATAAATAACAGCACTAGAACATGAAAAATGCAGCTTATGCACCTATGACTCCATCTGAAAGTTTTGAAAACCATCCAAAATCAGACGTGCTTTGTTTTCCTTGTGCAACTAACTAAATGTATAAATGATAACTGCCTTTAAATTCAGTCCAGTAATTCATTCAAAAGACTAATAGAGAGCATGTTACATTTATTTAATCAGTAACATACTGATTTGCAGAAAGCTAAGATTAATGATAAGATCTTCAGCTCTGTGTCAGTGTGAGGAGCACACATACATAAAGAGGGCCAGGCGGTTGGTTTGGCATTCAGTCTAATAATAAAAGCAGCCTGGTTTGTGAAGAGCCTAAGTAAGCCATTCCAGCAATGACCGAGGCAGCACTCTTAGCACGGGCACAGTATTAGCCAAGCAGGACCGCACAGCAATCCCAGCATCCTTACCTTCCATTGGTGTGTTGGGGTCTGGTCTGTTAGCGAACACTACATCAACATACTCTAACTGCAGTCTCTCCAAAGATGCCCTCAGACCTATAAAACCAAGAAAGCACAACATTTTATTCTTTATATGCAGTACTGTTAGTCTTTATTCGTACTTTTCCCAGCTGCAGTATCAACGCTGAAGTGTCTGTACATTTTTAAGTTTACAGCAGTCTAACAAATGCATGGTACAGCACTTCTTAAGGTCTAGGTATTAAATACAATGGACAGATGGTCCGTCAAGATGGAGCGAGTGCTCTTAGAACAATGACCGAACAGCGCTGTTGCAGACTGACGTGCTACGCTTTCGAATAAAGAACTTCATCACTTCATCTCACATTTCCTGACACTCTTCATTGGCACAGAAAAGACTGGTATTTTGGCAGTTGGTATTCATTTCTCTATTCAAGTATTCAGAAATTTCCTCTTTTTTTTAATTATAAAAATTACAGCCTAACATAAATGTAATCAAAGGCCTTTAGATAGAACAGTTATTGTTAACATATGGAAAATGTTAAACACAACTGCAATAAAAATTTATGCCACACATCACCTCGCCTCAGAGCACAAACTGCCCCACTTTCCACATGGCCACTGAAGCTAAAAGAGCAAAGATGCCTAAGAAATCACGTGTGGTGGCACTTTAAATTATTGGATGACAGTAAAACTGCTCAGTGCAAAATTTGAGGCATGTTTGATGAATCATCTCAAATATGTAAGTATCGTTTTCGGAGTACTGCCATGCGTCCAACTCACAGAGCATCTTTTTCTCCTTCTTTTTGTAATTAAAGAATTTTATAGCAAGTTTAAAACAGCACAAACAGCAGATCTGTTTATTGTGACGATAACACAGTCACAGGTTTTTACTGCTGTATAAGAGAAGAGTGCCCTCTACACACTACCACACCAACAAGAGCAATGTGGTTTAGAGTGTGTGATTTGACTGGATCTATCTGGAATTTACACACAAATGAATGAAAAAGTAGGCCTGACACAGATCACTACATCATCAACCAATCACAACTACTTCAACGTTGGCTTTCATGAACATATTTTTATGTGGGTCAGTTTTCATCAGTTGAAAACTGTCTGTCCTTTATTTTATTCTTTATTTGCAGAGTTACCAGACCAATACCAGACAAATGATTCATTGTGATGGACCTAATAGAAATGTAAAAACACATTAAATGAGACACATCATAGGCCTTACAAAAGGTGCTATATAAATTAAACACATTATTACTATTATTATTATTTATTATTTATTATTATTATTATTATTATTATTACCACAAGTTCTGACTTCTGACTAGGTACTAGAACACATTCAGAGGGCAGCAGTGAGGTTGAGCTGCTTCTGTTCTCAGTTAGGAGCTACTAAGTGTCAAAAGCTAACAAAAGAGCTAAATACAATGAAAAAAAAAGACCTAAAAAGTAGAACCGTGTTTCGACAGACTTAAAATGTGAGCCTAGTGCAGCTGGTATGAACTGAACCTCATTAAACTGGAAGCACATGTGTTCAAGGAAGACATCTAAAAACTTCAAATGTTACTGTTTTAAGGTTCATTTTTATAAATGGGTATTCGAGTACTCGTTCTGAACTATCAACAGGAACTCAAAGCCTGTAAAATGATCTTCAGGCCTGCTCTAGTCTTGGGTAATTGAAGCTGCTATTGTCAGGGAGCTACTGTCCTGAACAAAAGGATTTAAGTTTGTGATTTAGTTTTGTCCTAAAATACGTTAGCAGTTTTAGACTTTAACACCTAAAATAACTGACAGCTGCTTTGCTGAGTAAAAGTCTGACCATGTAGCTACTCATACAGCAGTTATGTGACTTACCTTCTATTATATGCTTTCTGGACAAGCCTCTTTCTGTTTCTGCTCTGAAAAACACACGACAGACAGACACTGATGTCAGTAAAGACGTCCTTGCTGCAGTTTGCATGTTTAACTAGTTGTGCGGTTCTAAAGCGTGTCCACTTCTCCGGAACACTGGATAATTAATCCTGACAGCAGTAAATACAGGTGAAATCCGGAGGTTAAACAGATTCTGACATGGTGTTTTTTTATCAATTATCCTTTGGTACTGATATCAGGGAAATCCTGAACACGGTGATAAAAACATTAACTGCAAACTGGAAAATGTACCTTGATGGCAAATCAAAATGATGCGCTTAAATAAAACACAAACATTCACCCAGAGCAGAGCTCCCCACTCAGCCCCTAAAGCCTACAGCAATACAGAGCTGAGTGTTTTCTCTGCTCTCACACCTGATTCAACACATCAGCTAATTCCTAAACCCTTTCAGAGATGAATCAGACCTGCTGGAGCAGGGAAAACACACAAATCTGCACAGATGAGGCAAGATATGCACCAAACACTGATCCAGAGATTAAAGCAGACCCAGAATGTTTGACATTTTGTTGCTGTGGTAAGAAAACACTGTACCTCCAAAACTGTGACTTAAAAGAGAAGAAAAGACCTGTTATTAGCTGAAATATAACTATAGAAACTTGACAGGTTTGCTTTTAAAATGTTCCACTCATCCACTCATCATGAGATGTTCACATAGTGTTCATGCTCTTCTACGTATTCAGTGCCCTCTACCAATAATGGCACCCCTTGGATCATTATCCCGCTGGAATATCCAAATTATGAGCCAGTTTAAGCTTCCTGGCTGATGCAGTCAGGTTTTGATTTTATTTCTGCTGGTGCTGGATGGAGTCTGTGATACCATGTATCGGAATAAGCTGTTCAGGGCCTTCGGAAGAAAAACAGCCCCACAGTATCACAGATCCACCACCATACTTCACAGTGGGGATGAGGTACTCTTCTGCATGGCTGTCACCTCTGGTGTTTCTTGCCAAAAACCTCTATTTTGGTCTTATCTGACCACAGAACACCGTCCCACTGAAAGTTCCAGTAACGTTTGGCAAACTGCAGGGGCTTGTTGGTCCTCCTCACTGTGTGTGGGGTCAGTAAAGACATACATCCTCCTCCTGGCAGTTTCTTAACATCTCCAGTTGTTTTAAACTTCTTCATTATTGCCCTGACAGTGGAAATGGGCATGTTTAGCTATTCTCTTGTAGCCATTTCCTGATTTGTGCGGCTCAACAACCTTTTGTCGTACATCATTGCTGTTTTCTCTGGTCTTTCTCATAACGATGAATGACTGATGGAATTTGGCCTGTGTTTCATCTCATACATATTCCCCAGTGAATCAGGAAGTCATGACTGACCAGTTTAGGAAAAATACTTATTTCATGACAAAATTTTGTTTTTTTCTTTCATCAGTCATTATACTTTTAATAACAGTTAGAATTTTGCTAATATTTTGAATAAAATGTCAAAAAAAAAAAAACAACAGGAAATTAGTAAAATTTTTACAGCTCATTTTGCTCATGATTACCAGGGGTGCCAAAACTCGTGGATGGCACTGTAGCTAATACATCCTCCAACAGCAAGAAATGGAAGAATATATTACCTCTCAAAAAAGACACCAACTTCTTGGGGTATTATAAAGGTTTAGTTGAAAATCTAGTGTTATATTTCTTCATATTGTGTTTGTTAGGCAAATGTTCAAAAAATTATTAAACCACAAAGTAGTCAAAGCACATCTGTAATTAGACATAAATGTTTTTATGGACAAAAACGTTGAAATGGAATAGGATTGATCCCTTTACGTTGTATTATAAGCAAAGAATGTTTTTTCTTGTCTTTTTTATTTATCTTTCTGGACAGTGATGGAGGATTTTTAATTTCTCATGGAAATCTATGAAAAATGATGTGAGCTGCCAGGCTGTAGGTCTGAAATAATCCACAATATAAAGAGCAGGAACTTCAAAATTGAAGTGCAATGCATAGGAACTAGGGGGGGGGCACTTCAGATTCAGTGTCTAATGTCACACTACGATTCTAACTTGTAACATAACCACAGTATGTCTGTAACATGTAGCCCTCCAGACAGATACACTGATTAGGATTTTTCTTTCTAAATTGGCCCAACAAATGTGAAATGTCAACTCATCAAAGTCTGCTGGCAGCCTCTCATCAGTGCTGGCCAAGGACCTTTAATTTAGCCCGAGTTAAAGAGCAAAGCTCCAAGGGGGGGATCAACCTGCAGCACACTCAGGAAACAATTAGAGCTGTTCTGCTGCCTGCCTGCAGAGGAGCTGCACAGGGGGTCTACAAAAGGTCCTTAACCTCCACCTCAACACAGACACAGACACACTCTTACTCACTCAGGTTTGGGGACACTTTCCTGAAATGTAATTTTTCTTACTGCAAATTCTCAATAAAATAAGAAAAGAAAAACTGAAAAAGTTTTGTTAACATCAAACTATTAACTATAAGCTATTTCTTATTATATTATTTCACAACATTCAGCTCCATGTTTCTTAGTATGAAGAGAAGGTTTGCCAAAATATCGATTTAACAGTTTTCCTTTCTAAATTATTATTTAAAAACTGAAAACTGTGTGGTCCAACAGTGGTTTAAACACCTGAACAACAAAGGGATAAAGTACTTGAGGTGTAGCATTAATCATCTGGCAGCACCCCCACAAATACTGTCACAAATGTTTGCTTTCCTTAAAATATAAATGTTTAGTAGTGAAGCATCGAATCAAAATCCTTAACTGAAGTCTACATTCAGGACACACTGGGACAAAAAACAAGAACCAAACAAAGCTGACAATGAATTAAAACAATTTATAAAACAAATGTATAAAAATTGTACGTATGAATGTATGTCAGCTACATTATTTGCTATTAAATGCAAGATTGTTGTGTTTTCAAGTGGTATCAAATCTGTAATGGAGACGCTCTTAGGTGTTGTCCTCCCTCCTGATGCTCAACGTGAACAAATATTATAAATTGTCTGATCTCCTCATTAAAAACGGGAAAATGATCCACATGGCCACACAAAGCAGATCCCCTCTGCTGCTGTTCAAACTGTCTAAACATGTCTGGCACAGGAGAATGAAAGGAAGCATTTTAACCAATATTTCTTATTTTTATTACCATTAAAGTTATTTGTACATTCGTAGATTTTGACACTTCACTGTAGACCAATTTAATCTATTTTCAGTCAAAATGTTAGACTGTTTTTGTCTTTCAGCTATTTTTGATCACTGTCGGCCAAACATTGTCAGTGCCTATAAATAAATATAAATAAATATATAAATATATAAATATAAATAAAAACACTTTGAAATGCTAGGTGTCCCCTATTGTTTGAGAAGGCAGCATAAGAGACAGAGTAAGAGACGGAAAAGTTTTGTTCAGTAGATTTAAAAGTTCACTTTATGCATTACACCTGAATTGGTTCCAATTATATACATATATATATATATATATATATATATATATATATATAGCAGCAACCTGTATCTCTCACTGCTAATCAAGCTCACTGAGCACTGATCTGAACACAGAAAGCCCTCATTAAACTGTCTCACTGACATACACACATACACACACACACACACACACACACACACACACACACACACACACACAAAGACTCACTTTCCACCCCAGTAGATCTTGGTGGTAATAACCAAACTGGAGCGCCTGTGAAAGAGAACAGAAAAACTGTGTTAGCCTGGAGTGGCAATCATCATGATAGATGGGGCATCGAGGCAATGACCAGGTCAGGCTACCGGCCAAAACTCTTGCACTCAGAAACAATTGCATTACAGCACATGATTTCATTTTGCTGAGCTAAATTATAACCTTTACAGAGAGGAGATTAAATCTGGGGTTTCAGCCCCAAAGGTTAAAACAGTTAAGCTGGCAACCTACTGCTTTATCCTCTTCAGCTTTTACATATCAAAGCTCCTTCAAGGCAGATGAATAATATCTTATCCATCTAAATGAATGGTTAAGAAAAAATGGAAATCAAAATATCAGACTTTAAATGGCTTCTTCTACTGTTTACTATGTCTGACAGTGTCAGAAACTAAAGACTGAAGTCCATTTGAGATTACTTTGGAGCACGATGCACTGAGGCAAGGTGATGATTTACGAATGCAGTTTTCATTCTTTACATCAGATGTCAGTAATACACTTCTCCGGAGCTGCACGCAGCTCTTTTACTGTCCTGTTGCGGCTCCACAGCAGAATTAGATTTTTAGGTTGAAATAAAAAATTCATCCTTTGCAGAACAATAAAGCTCTGCTGATCATTCAACACAGTTTTAACAATAAATGGTCCTAAATGCTGGAGTTAATGTTGCCTATAACTGCTAATTCATCAACTTTAACCTTGAAGGTTGGCGTGCAGACTGCTGGTCACACAGCAACACAGACAACAGTCAAAAGTCAAATATCAATAATTTGGAGACACTGGACTTATTTACATTTATAATCACACCAGCTGGCTCCCTGATACAAATCTGCAACGAGAAACTGTCGAACACTTAAAAGTCACACAGCTGAGGTCAGCTTCTCATTTACCAGCTTCTCATTCAAATTTTCCCGTTCCACCTTAAATGGTGCATGCTGCTCTTCTTAACATTCGGGTTGCCAACCCCTGCACTATATGTTAGTGGATCAGCAACTAACTGTTACTTCCTAAATGAATTATTTAGGCCATTATGATTTTGACTAATCAGGAAAATAAAAGTGCAGTTATTAGTTTGTCAATAATTAACATTACATATTTAACATTATACACAGTTTTATTTTAATTAAAAATCCATGCATTATTGCTCTTTTTGCTCTTTTAAAACATAAACATCTACCCAATCATCTAAATCACATTTGCAAAATAAACAAGACTTTTATCAAGGGCATAGAAACAGATCTGGCTGCACTGCTGTCATAAAAGCTTTTTTCAATTAGAAAGACACAAAAACAATAAAGGAGCAAATTATTAATGAAGTGTTGCCATATAATTGATTTTCTGGGTATTGTACAGCCATATATCCCGCCCTGCAGCCTCTGCTGTCTCTATTTCCTTTTAATTAAGTGATATAACTTGGAACATTTTCTCAAAGAATGTTAAAGTGTTCACGGAGGGAGATGCGATCCAATAAAACCTGATTTCAATCAAGTACAATCTTTCATATCTGCAATGCTACAACGGTTCATGCAAGTCAATAACATTTGACCACATTCGGTGTGACCACAGCCACTCATCTAATAGCATCCTCCAAGCCTCTCCTTCAGCACTAATGACACTCTACTGCAGCTCACTGTCTCATAGCACTCAGTCCATTAGAATGCTTTTGTCACATTGTTATAAAAAATAAAAATTAAAATGGCAACTGCCAATAATAAAGCACAGTTTCTATATGTGTTTCTCCCGGCGGGCAGAAGGAAAAGCCTCAGTGCTCCCGCGCAGAGCCTGGCAGGACAAATAAAGGCTGACGGCCCAGTGAGCACAAAATCATTCACAAACTACTAGGAGCTGCGAGGTACAAGCAGTCTTGCTTCCATACAGACCCCATCCTGCAGTCTGCACGTCCAGCAGAACAGGGGCACATTCCAGACTGACATGTCGCATGTAAAGACAGCAGGGCAGCTGGAAAAGCCTGGCAGCAAATAGAGAACGTCACATTTGGAAAAAGAGGGGGAAATAAAAGACTATACCTCCAGCCCTTCTTCTTTATGATACTGCCAAGCACCATTTCAGCCCTGTTAAAAAAGAAAGAAACAATTTTCACATCACATCACAATTGTGGGCACATTATTTGTACCATTTCTACCATTTCATGCTATGAAGGAGTTCTCTTCAGAACTAACAACAGAGCTGTGTTCAAAGCGTGAGTGTGTTGGGGATTCCCTGTTCCCTTTCTTGGACAATAAAGCTAATGAAGCAGCGAGTTCACAGTCATGCAAAATGAACTCCCAGCGTGAAGCGCAGGCAGAAACACGGCACGCTTTCTGAGCTGTAGCCGAGAGGAGCTTCTGAGTAGCTAAAAAAAAAAAGGAGGGGATGTGGGGAGGGAGAGTGTTTCTGTGTGTCTAATGACAGATGCTGCAATTCTGCCCTCAGGACCAATGTGTTCCTCATGAATGGCTGCCATCATTCCTGTGCTGAGGCGATGTGAGCGTTTATGACAGCCCTTAACAAATGCTGAACTGGTGAGGTGGGTGTGGGGGGTGTGGGAGGCAGGCAACACATGCTAGGATGCCCTGAGATAAGAGGTCAGTAGGTGTGTAAAAATGAATTGATGCATTATGATGCATCCATCTGAGGGTGGAGATTCAACTTCATCGATTTTGTATCAACTGATTACAAAAATCTATAACAATATTAAAAATATGTGCTCATTTCTAGGCCAAATGGAGTAAACTCAGAACACAAATCTATAAGCCTATTCACACCAAATATGAATTCTGATACCATTTTTATCATAGTAGAACCCTGAAATTTATTCCTAAATGTAATAATAAAAGATTTATTACACACTCTAACCTAAGAATAGCTCAGCCAGTTTGCATTGTCCCTGTTGTTACTGAATAATAAGCCTCATGTAAATATGTAATAAGCCTGGAATTATAAGGGGTTAAATATTCTCTGCATGGTGAAATGGTTCTTCAGATTGATGAAAAATGTGTTACGGTTCTATACAGCATCAAAATAGATCTCCATCAATCTGAAGAACCATTTCACCATACAGAGAACCCTTTAAGCATGCAAATGCAAGTGTTCATGGCTCTGTATAGAACTACTGTTACTAAAGAACCTTTTTAAACACTCTAAATGTGCGGAGAAGACAGAAGAGGAAGGAAAACGGTTTCCTCAAGTGGTAGTGACTATGAATTTAGCAGTTTTCTGTTAAGAAAAGCAAATAAAATGTGCCACATTCTACAAAAAGACCTGGCCTAAACATGATACACATAGACAAACAAACAATCTACAGCTTCTATCTTTGACAAAGGCACTCACCATCATTTCACCGCCTTTCAGTTATGGTCTACCATATATTTCCTTTAACTTTCACATTTCGTGCTCTGCCATAAGCAAGATGAGCTATTCTGCCAGCCTTTAAATCATTTTTTCTGAAAACATGAGAAAATATGTACATTGTTTGTATCGTCTCTTTGCTTCTACTGTGTAAAAATTTCACTCGTTACATAGTATTTTTAGAAGTATTTCTAAGGTAATTTACTGTTCTCTTCACCTTGGTCCTAAGCCTTGTATACTAGGTATCAGAGATATCTGATAGGTGTCACCTTGTTTCCAGCATATACATTTATTACAAATTCTTCTACTCAGTCTGCAAAAGTACATCCTGACGCTGTGGATTACTGATAGAAATCTCTCATTTACCAAGTGGATCCATACTGTTACAAACTTGATCCCAATGAAACCTTCCCTACAGCTTTGAAGGAAAAAACATTCAAATTATACAAAATGTGGGACCTCTTCTTGAGGCCCTGAAAAGTAACAGGCTCTAATGTTGAGTTTAATTGGTTGGGCATGGAAAGAAGACTGTAAATTAATTGTTCACATGTCCACATGCAAAACACAGAAATAAGTTAAATCAATACATGAATGAGGAAGCAAATAATTGTGTGAAGCATCCATGCTTAACTGACTAGTAGCATGAGTGTCATAATTCACAACTGACTGACTGTTTCCTATATTTTTGACTGTTTATTATTTATATTCTTGTTTCATATATAAAACTTTGTTGGCAAAATATACAGATGGAGAGATTTGAGATTTACTCATGCACTAAATCATTTTCCAAAGAACTGCAATCACAGCAAAAGGCTTTGAGGCCAAATATTTACTTCCTAACCACTTTCTCGCACGTTCTTCCTCTTTTATCTGGTCAGCAGTCCAGAGGTTTAGGATCATTCGGTGAGATACAGTTCATGGCCCACAATTTATTTTTCCCCCCATATAGTAATGCTGCTGCGGTGTTAGTGAAGCGTAGCTGAGTGTGGAGTGTTGATATGGAGAGAGAGTGTGTGTTTGTGTGATAAAGGGGAAGTGTGTAATCTGTGCTGCTGTGTTTACTGCGCTGCCATGATCATTCTGCTCAAGCGGGAAGACAGAGAAGGTAGAGAGTCACCCTGCCTGGCCGGCTCAATATAATGCCCTCTGACATACACAAACACACGCAAATTGTGAGAAATGTAGACACGTCCCTACAAACGTGTACAACTTGGCCTTGTATGTATTATTAAACTGCTTGCAGGTGTACATACATGTCTAACTTTTACCAGTCAGTTTGTGATATTAGGATCATTCTACTTCTCAGAGATCCACTAACAGCTAACGAGGCAGCAATTCAAACTGTCATTCAGTTTGTTTGTTTGTTTTTCAAGAAAAACAGGTCCATCTTCTTTGTTTTGACTCTTCTCTGAGGCTGGAGATTAAGAAACTCATTCTTTAATTATATGTGATAGATATAAAGGCTGCAAAGCAATTTATATGAAATTCAGCTGAAATTACAGTGAATTATAGCCCTCCAGAGACCACACGTCGATGGACAGGATGAATGACATTGCTCTGAAGAGTCGAAAATAATTACATTCTCCTCAGAGAGATATTAAGTGCTGTATATCCAGATCACTAAAACCTTCCAACATGATTTTTCAAGAAAAGTAAGAGACAATTTATGAAATATTTTGCTGGAACAGTAAAAAACAGAAACCTGTAATCTGTGTGTTTTTGTATAGCCAGTATAGCCAATACAGTTCTATCACAAAGCACCGGCACTTTCTTTAAAAAACATGCTGCAAATATTTCACATACTGCAATCGCACGATCTCCTTTTTTTACACTAGGGAAATAAATGCGGTAAGAGTTCTGCCTTTCAGAATCAAAACCCAAGGACATAAAAAGGGCTGCCTATTGTTAACACCCATTTAATATCTGCAAGAGCCTACCTCTCATTGAAGAGTCCACATTCCAGAGTGCTTATTGCTAACACTGAAGTCTGTAAGCTCTCTTTGCCTGCGATTTACACTGCAGGTAAAAGTGACCAAAAGCCAGTCTTTTTTTTTTTTTTTAAATGTGACAGATTTGTTTTTAATAATCTGAATTTGACATTTTCAATTCTGCTCTGGGCCTCTTTCACATGTGGCACTGAAATGTGACCCCTATCTGACACCTATGTGACACCTATCCTCTCTCTGAACAGTCAGGCTGGACTTCATGCAACTTTTACATCAGTCCAACTCATCATAATTTTAACTGCACAGGAACAGACGTTACGTCATCAACACACCTGTTACTATGGTTGGACTTCTCAATTCCATTTTAGACTAAGACAAACACGGGCAGTGTAAACAAACAGCAAACAACATTTACTTTAAAGAAACAGAGAAGCAAATGAGTCAAAGGAGCTGTACAAAGATCAAATGTCTTTATACAGTATATCACAGCTGTCAGAACAAAACCTCATATATAATTTTGTCATTTTTCAGTTTTTGACAATTTGAAAACACCTCTTGCCTTTTACATTATAAGTAAGTTTAATGATGAATGGACCAAAAGAAACAGCCCAACATGACCTGGAAAAAAGTCTGGTTCCATTGACTTACATTAAAAGTCAAGTAGTGTTTTCCTTCTCCTGTAAAGTTACTATTTGAGACACAAGGTTTTGTTCTGACAACAGTGATATATGCGCTGTACTAGAATTTTTTTCATGGCAAGTAAACTAAAGAAATTTATCTTCCTTTCTCTACTTGATCAGATTTCACAATTAAGACAAGCAGAGAAATTCAGCATTTTTACTAATTTCTGTAAACTTTGTCTAAAATGGTCCTTTTAGTGTCTAATATATGTCCTTTAAGTGTAAAAAAGGAGTTAACATTGCTCGTTCTGATGTTGCATGGAAAGGCAGTGGACGGCTATCTTTTGAATATATCACAATAAAAAGATAACATGAATGATCAAACTGGGTTTGGGTAGTAAATTGGACTTCAGTCACCGTTACCTGCAGTCTGAACAAAGCCTTTGTCTGAGGGAACAGTGGAGAAAGGAGGAGGTAAAGCACTCACTTGCCCGCAGCGTACACCTCAGCTGTGTCAAAAAGATTGATCCCATTCTCATACGCCAGTGTCATCAGCTGCTCTGCTATCTGAGAGGAGTGAAAAGGACAAAGGGAGATGGGAGAGATTAAACATGAGCAGCGTGGCAGGAGATAAACACACAGAGAGGGGACTGACAGATAAAGGAAGGTACAAAGGGAAAAGACATGGTCCCCTGGGACACACTGTAAAGATAGCTGGACATGGTACAGAGTTTTACACTGCACAACTCCACAGAGATACGGTGGCAAAGTAACATGGATTAGAAGTTAAATCATTTAGACTAAAGGCAAAATTACACTTCTGCATCTGGGAATCTGTGGACATGTGTGAGAGTTTTGCAGACGTTAACACAGGTGTCCCAACGTATGCAATGTGCGCACTAGAAGGGTGGAGTTTACCAGATGGTACAGAAAACAAAGAGGAAAGTGTCTCCAAGAATTAATTCTCACTTTGTTGTTTTTGATATTTTGAAGATCTGGTCTAGATCATTAATGCACTTTACTGTAGTCAATACTACACTGTAGTCAAATACAGGCTGATGAGTAGGAGTTCCACAGTACCTCGTCTGTGATTTGCCCTCCAAAGGTCACCCAGGTGCCTGCAAGGATTACACATACTGTCAGAACAATGTTTAACACCACCAAAACAGATATATTTAAAATGTAATCTCCATCTGCTGCTTCTGTAGCACACGATGGATTGCCACAGGAAACCATTTCTACATATATTTCAGTGTTCTGTACTCTTTTTTGTTCGTATTTTGTATTCTTCAGAATATAGAATTCATTAAAATGTTCTCCAAAAGAGCTGTAAATCTTTCAGAGATGGGACGAGTATTCCAGAGGGAGGACCATGTGGTATTATGTAACTTCATGCTGCAGTTTTGAATTTGCATTACACAGTCAAATTCTTCAAATGTTTATTCATGGAATTCAGCAACTGCCCATTGGCTTCCCATGAGTGAGATTTTAAACATGTTCTGTTCTTTTCTAAGTACAGACGAGGTAGTCAGACAGGGGTTGGATACTCAGTGCTCTAAAGGAAAGAGCTAAACTATGAAGAGTAATAATTAGGGATGAACCAATAAGGGGACTGTCAATTTCCATTGCCAATATCTGATATTTTGCATGCACAAATATGGCAATGCCGATACACATACATTTAGGCCACACTTTATTTGGATGGTCCCCTATAGATGATCCTTAGATACTTAAATCATTAACAAACTTTCTGGTGATAGTTGATTATCAAAAACATTAAGGTTAGGGTTAGGTCTAGGAGTAGGTGTAGGTTTTGCCTTGAGTTTTGGGTTAGGTTTAGGTCTAGGGGTAGGCTTAATAGAATCTTTCACACTCAACTTCAAGTTGAGTTGCATAGATATTATTAATAGATATTTAGTTGAATGTTACTTAAAAAGCCATACTGAGCATCTATAAAGCATCTACAGTGGATCATCCAAATAAAGTGTCACCTACATTTATAAAAAGTAGAAACTGGGACGTCTACCTGGATTATCATTACAGAGAAATACAGAAGACTCAGGCACCTAAGCAAATTGTTCAAAACATTTATCTTGGCAGTAAGTGTGTTTTTTTCCAGTAGAAACACTATATATAAACACTAAAAATAAACAGACAAACAAAAAACAAACATAAACATGGTAAAAGGTAATATTTTATATTTTATTGTATATTGTATATTTTTTGTTTTGGTTTGTTTTTTTTGTTAATAAAAAAGACATGTCTGGTATTGGATGATAACCAAAAATAATACTGGGCCGCCATGAGAAGAGGTTTAACTGGACAGATGTATGATGGCTCCTTGTTTATTAATGTTATTTGTATTTATTCTAATATTAGTGCTTTTCTAAACAAATAAAAATGCTTATTGTCCAGGCAAACAGCTATTTAAATAGAATTTTCTCCAGTGTGTAAGACTTTTGCACTGTACTGTCTTTCTATAGGTCAGTGGTCCAGTCTTATCCACGAATGGCTGGTGTGGCTGCAGGTTTTCATTCCAAATGAGTAGGATCACATCTGATTTCACTTGTTTAATCAGTAACTCAGTCTGCAAGCAACTGACCGAGTCAGCTCCTGCTTTGCTGGAATGAAAACCAGCAGCCACACCGGCCCTTTGTGAATAAGACTGGACATAGGGTTAAAATATAGCCAAACGATTCAAACATTAAGACATTTTAGCACCGTAGCCCAGTGTCACCTGAACATTCTTCTATTCTGCAACACAATAAATACTTATTAAATATCGATCTTTTTCAGCATTTATCTGCTGAGACAAATATGAATCTGATATATTTATGCATCCTTTGCTATAATGTCAGAGAACGATACTTAATGTCAGAGTGTGATACTCACCCAGCCCTAGACATGACACCCGTAACCCGGACTTCCCAAGGTTTCTGAAAGTAGAAAGGACACTACTCAAAACTCTAGATCAGCATTGTTCTTCCTAGATGAACTATTATGACAGCACTATGTGCAGCAGATGTCCTTCTCTGGATGAATTCAGTGTACAAGGTTATACAGGATATCTCTTACAGAGGTCCAGTTTTGACCTTCATGATCGACCACATGACTGATCTGTGATCAGTGGCAGCTGAACGAACGATATGAGCTGAGCTGTGCGCTCGCAGGGTCACCGTATAAATAATGTCTGTCCAAAATCCCAGATTACTTCGAGTCCATGACTACCAGAACTTAATCTGGGCTTGCTTCATTGTGGGAAGAGACACAGAGAAAATCTTAGCCTGGATACAGCCCATTTTTTCAAGCCAGTGCAGCCAATCAGAGTATCTGCTAGCTCTTTTGTTCACCATCCTCTGAGTTTGTATGGAGCCAAGGTTATAGATCTCAACAATTGCCGTGTGACCACACTGCCAAGGGCGCAGAGCCGTCCGCACAAACCCTTTTATCACTGTTTCTATTCAGCAGGCTGCAGCTTCACACTCAGGGGATGAGAAGCAATTTGTGATTAACCATGACAAGAAAAAGATTTAAAAGATTTTCTCGGCTATTACAGGGCTGAAAACATTTCAAAACATTTTAAGCTGCACACAAAAACAGGTGGCTTGTACCAAAGCAGCTGGTCTCACGAAGGTATCCTTAAAAATACAATTAAAATAGGGTTTCCATTATTGAATCCTGTGAAAAGTGAATTAAAAGCCATGGATCTAAGTGATGAATAATATATTACTGATTTAAACGTTTCAAAACTCTGAAGTAACACAGGTGAAGTGGCAGAACTGAGAGTGAGGAGTTTTCAGACTGAGGCACAAACACACACCACGTTTTTTTTTTCTCCCATACTATTAAAAATGTCACTGCAGAAATATTAAATGATCAAATCAAATCAAATCAAATTTATTTGTATAGCGCTTTTTACAACTGATGTTGTCACAAAGCAGCTTCACAGAAATCCGTTTAGAACAAATGGCTTCACTGGCTCAAGTGTTTAGATATGAAAAATATAACTATCACCAAGAACACTGGCACGCATGGAAGAAAAGGAGAGGCTCAATGCCTCAAAGCCTCTCAAGGCCTATCCAAAGTATCTGCTATTATTTCCCTACTATGAATAAAGCTGATAAGCAGACGCTCAGTATCGATGTCCTGTAAACAGACTGTCAGCAAAGTCACCTCTAAGTGACTTTCAAAAGAAGATTACAGTGGAACTTATCCACTTAAATCAAATTATCAGTGAGTATGGGGGGCTTAGAAAACCAGTCATGAATTTTTAACTAGGCTGGAAAAGATAGGGTTACATGGAGGGGGATCTGTTGACTAGCCAGTGAAGGTGAACTGGCCACCTGCTGACTGGACTCAAACTGAGTGACATACTGAGTTTGTATGCAGTTCTGAGTAACCTATTCATATGCAGTTCCAATCTGACTGTCTACTTTGTTTCATATTAACCATAGAAATAGTATTACATGAATTAAACGCTGCAATTCCATTATTGTTAGGCTACAACTTGAGGGCATGGAATAGAGGCAGGCATAGTGGCAATGTTCAATGTGAAATTTCAGCACTGCCTTGGCTCTAAGTGACCTTAACAACACTTCAACACTGTAGCAAAAAAGATACCATAATAAAGCACAAAATAATCCCTACAACACCATCCAGTACAGTGGGTGCTTTTCAGCTAGTAAATGCTGATGCCAGAGGACCTTGGCTGCAACTCTAGAACGGCGAGACGCTCACGCACATCTTTGTTTCTCTTTAATTATGGAGGATAGCAAATAGTGGATCATTCCAAACAGAGGCTCCGGTGCAGGAATATTGGCCGACATATTTCTGAAATTAATTAACTCTGCCTGTTCATAAAATACATTTATATATATATATATACACACAAAATAAAATAAAATAATAATAATTATGTTGATAATACATTATAACTGCAAGAGCATAATTAAAGATTGGATGGTATTATACATTTTAAAAAGTTATAAACATAATGAGATGTTAACATTAAGTAATCTAAAGAAATAAATATGTACAGATGGAACCTTCTTGCTGCTTTGATGTCCATATTTCCCAAGATACTACAACTCCTCACAATTTCTACATTTGATGGGAAGTATTGACCCCAATGTTTTATGGGAAAATAGCAAAGTGATTTAAGAACGTGTAGAATTCTAAAAACCTGTTTGCGAGCTAAAAATGAAAAATATGTTTTGCCTGACAAATACACGCTGGGAAAGTTGAACATTTCAGAAATCACTGACAAAAGTGCTGTGCAGCTACAGCCTCTTAAGAGTGACACAGTGTCTAAAGCCAGCTTCTTTAGTTTTGAACTGGGGCTACAATCGTAGTCAAACAAAACACTGAGCTGGTAAGTAATCTTGAATGGACTTGGTTTATATAAGCTTACATCACTTGTTAGCTAGATATCTTGGCTGACCAACTACATTTGAGGTAAACTGAACAACCACTTTAAATGCACATCCTCATCATCACAGCCACAGTGGTGGAATGTATCTATAAAGGCTAAGGCCACACAATAACAACTCACCCTCCTCAGTGCTCAAGCACGTTGCAACAGAGCACAGGTGGACAGTCACGTGTCATTTCATACTCACCTGCACCCTCACATCAATACACACAGGTATGCAAACACATCAGCTGTCCGTGCTGAATTGTGATAATACCACACTCAAAATAAACTACCATATAACATCAAGCAGCTCACATTTCCCATCCAAGTAATGCAGGTGAGTAGGCTGGCATTAGACAGCACCATTAACCAGATCCAATTTCAAAAAGAAAAGGTGCTGAAACAGAGCAATCAAAGGAATGCAGCCATCATCCTGAGCGGCTCCTTATATCAGCTGTGGATGGATGGGGGAAGTTCATAAATCAGTCTCAACGTCACTGTCCCTTTCTCACAAGATCTCCACCACCAAACAGCACGTCAGCCACACAAACAGCCCTGTGACTAATTGCAGCTGGTCAGTGACAGTGTGCCTGTCTGTAGTGATGAATGACCAGCAGGTCACGGAGAGGCCCTTTCCTGAGCCGCTGAGATGAATCACGGCTGTGCGCCCACAACATGCATGAGGCACCACACACCCTATGTGGCATACATTATGATCCAGTGCATAAATCACATCACGTACAAATGTGCAGCATCTGAACTGTCATAAAGGCTCCATTAGCAGGCCGCATTAGTCCTGGCAGGGTGGGAGAGAGGTTTACGCTGTCTTAACAGTGAATGCTCTTCTGACAGAGGTATTCCACGTATAGTTTCTCAGCTATGAAATGGAAGAGGGAAAACAAATCCCTTTATCATCCCCTCAACCCACTGCCAAATCCCACAACTGCCACACATCAGTGGAAGAATGACCATGCAGTAGGTAAATAACCTCCATAAAGCTGGCATCCAGTGCGATCAGAAAACAAATAAAAGTATGTCGCTGTTGTCGGAAGAAAACCGTATCTCCAAAATGGTAACTTTACAGGAGAAGGAAAAAACATACTTGACTTTTAATGTAAGTTAATGGAACCAGACATTTTTCCAAATCATTTTGGGCAGTTTCTTTTGGTCCATTCATCATGAAATTTACACACAATGTAAAGGACAATTTTTGTTTTAAACTGAAAAACGACAAAAATTGAGATACAAGGTTTTCTTCCGACAGCAGCGATGTATCATTTATATTGTGTTAGTACTGATTTGTACCATAAAATCACTTTTGTGCTGGTGAGGTTTTAAGAAATGAAACATTATGTTTTAAGCAGGGATGCATGATATAATGGTAGGCTATATTTTATATACTGATAAACTGTAAAGTATGAAAATTACAGAGAGTAATTACGACTGATTAATTATTATTCTTCTATTTTTCGCGCATCCACATACTCACCAGTGGTGAAAAGTCGTCACCTTTCTTCATATTACCTTTAAAAGCACACGATGTAACTTACTGGGTTGAATTCTGACAGGAAACCAACTCGTGCCACAAGCTATATTTTTGTTAGTTAGATATTTAGCTTTTTAATCTAAATATTTCTGTTTATGATCTGCAACAGATAGTGTTGCACATTTATACACCCCTTTTTACAACGAGTGCTTCAAAAACGCCAAGACATTTAAAGGAGCCCATTTCAGATATGGAGACAGATGAGAGACTGGATATCTGTTGGCCAAGACAGCAGCGACAATAGAGGTGAGACCAACATGTGAACGTTTTGCTCAGCTACATGTTTTTATCAATAATTTATGCTTCATTCATGTTTTTTTTTCACTAACTCAAGCTCGATCATGAGTGAAGTAATGCTGATCTCATTCAGGACTGATGGCTCAGTGAGGTATCAATTCCAGTGTTTGATACAAAGTTCATTTGTACAGATTTATAGAGATGATATTTCATATCCTATACAAATCAGCTAAACATATTAGCCTGTTGTCTCTGTAGACAAGTTTGTCTCAGAAACGCTGTGGCAAAACAAGAGATTGAGGACGCTTTCAAATTCACCTTGAATGAGGTTCGGCAGCCATAAAATGAACACGCAGGGAACTACTTCTCTCTGTGTAAATGATTTTATCATTTTATTATTTTTTATGAGTGCAGATATAACTCACCTTCATTCTTTTAGAATACAGGGTGATGTACAGCTTACAGCTTTAAGAGCCTTGTATCAGGTCTGTCGTTACATAAGGATAATCTTGAACATTGTTGGTTGTTGTAGGAAGTTATTTCCATACATCTGTTCTTTATTTTTAGGAATCTATCCACATGGTTGTAAATGGATTAAATAAAAATAAAAATTAGATAAAGAGTGCCTGCTAAAAAATGAAATATATATGTAAAGTAATGTAAAACATTAAACAATTTATTAAATTTAAATTATTTTAAAAAACAATTTATGAAATTCGTATTAGCCACAATGAGGTGTT